ACAATTAATCCAATTGAATTTGTAGATTATTCAGCTATTTGGAGTGAATATAATCTATTTTTCTTTTTAGCACTTTTTATGAGTTTAATCTATATTATTTTGGGTTTTGAGGCAGCAAAATAAATAGCTAATAATACATTTGGATTTGATGAAAATGGAATTATAGCAACCTATAAAAGTAGAAGATATTGGTTAAGTAAAACTATATAAATAGTAAGTGGATAATTCATATTTGTTATGAAAAGTTATATTGATGCATTTATTTGTGATTATAGTTCATATCCATACACATTAGTTAGATAACCAAGTGTAGAATGCATGAGTGATTTGCATTTCATGTATGTCACTTTAGCCATTTTTGGATGTATTATTTATTATCCTCTCTCATCCTATTTATAACCTACATTTTAATATATGGATCACTCTTTAGATTTAAAATACAAATCCAATTATGTAGTTTTGTATATTTAATCTAAATTGTTAATTTTGGGTATGAGCTCAGTATTCTCAAATCTTTAAGATTAAGCATATTAATATTAAATGCTCTTTTCTAGTATTGTTATGTTAATTCTTATATATTTTCATATCAGAATTAAACCATGCTATGTTAAATGGTTTAATACAATTGAGTTATGTATATTGTTATTGTTACTATATGTAATTGTATATTTATTATATTAGATGTATTTTGGAGCTTTTTTGATATTAGCAACAGGTTTAATGATAATAGGATGGATAATCTTAGCTTGTATGGGTGGTTTAACATTAATATTGACAGCCATATTACTTTTAAAACATTACAATAAAGAAAAATAATTAGAATTGACTAAAGTTTAGCCAGTTAACCAGGCAACTGAGATGACTTAGATATTGAAGTAATGAAGATTTGAATAAATTCTAAATTTAATTGTTATTTAAAAATATTAAAATTCATATTTGTAAAATAGAATATTGAATCTTATTAAAATATATGTTCTGGGATTTATTTATTATATATATAGATATATATTAAGAATCCGCGTTAGTATAGTGGTTAGTATTCAAGCCTGTCACGTTTGAGGCCCGGGTTCAATTCCCGGACGCGGAGCTTTTTTTTTTTATTTTTATTTTTATTATTACTCTTCATTATACTTCTTAAATATGTGTAAAAAATAAACATAATAATTATTATATAAATAATAATTTTGGTTTTCAGAATCTAAAAATATTAATTTGCAGATATCTTTAAATTTAATAGTCATTTAGATATTTCAAATAGTGTTTTTGTCAATAATTGATACTTATAATTAACTTAGAGGATACTCACGATAGATACTAATTATTTAATTATCAAACATTAAATAGTTATATAAATATTATTAAAATTATTAAAAGAAGCAACACTTACTAATAAATATATTTGATTTATCTTTGATTCTAAATATTAAAGGACTCCGTTAATATATTAAAATCTAATCCTTTCTTTATTATTCAATTATAATTAATCTAATAAGGTTTGCTGTTATCTAATAAATAGTCTGGTAATCTTATATTCTCTTATTCATTTAGAGTTCGATTCTTTTAATAATATTTATAACTTTGATGCTTAATTATTTATCAATAAAATTTCAATTAAAGTAGATTAAATAATTGAAATATTTTGGAGATTTTATATGATTATCATGATTAAGATGTTTTAATGTTTGAATGCATTTTTATGAATAAATAATCAATATTACTGTTATTCATATTTACTTAATTGTACTAAAAGCTCTTGATTTTAAATTTGCAAATTTTGAACTTGTGCTTACAAATCCATAATTTGTTATTATTAATGTTAAACTGTGCTCTCTAATTAAGCCTAAGAATAATAAAATTAATTACAATTTTTTAAGTATCTTATGCATTTGGTTGTGTTAATTGCTATTATTATTATGGTTTTGGTGGTTATTAAGTAAATACAACATTTTACTATTATTATTGTTATTATTATTATTAATCTGGTTTAAGACTGATTAATACTGGATTGGCATTTTAACCTCCAAAGAATTGAGCAGCAGTCTAATTATATATTTAAATTAAATTTACTTATGCTGGTTAAGTTCCTGGGCAAGGGGGGAATAAATCTTCCTAGAATGTATTAGACTTTCTTGGAGCAATGAGTTGAACATAGGATAGAGCATTTTCTTCAATTTTAGCAACTCTATTAACTTCACATATATTGACATCCACAGCTCTTTTAGGGAAAAATGCGTAACTCTTTCCAGGTTTGTTTGATGTGTATTGATTTAGGAAATGTAATTATCCATCAAGGAATTCAAAATATTTAATACTGGAATCTCCCTTACCGGATAAATAAAGGACTTTCAGTTATTCATCCCAATATGGATAAAGTACTCCACTTCCTGTATCAATTTAAGTTGTTGAAACAGGCTCTGAAGGATTACTTGCATTCCATAATGAAAATTCTCTTCCTTAGGTTTTGTTAAATCCAACACTAACAAAATATCCAGTGGATCCCAACCAAGCAAATCTCTATGGTTTTGTTCCCTAATGTGCATTAACTTCTAAGGTTAGAGTCTATTATCTTGGATCAATAATTTTTAATTTTTTATCATTCCAAGATGATCCAATGAGTGAACCATTAAGATTCCAATCAATAGAATATGGTAAAGCATTAGCATTTATTGTATTTCTAGCTGCACCTGCTTGAACATCCCAAACTTTTACTGTTTGATCATGAGAAGCTGATCCTAATACCCAAGCAGATGTTGGATTCCATTAAATTAAGTTGACCTAATTAATAAATACATTTAATATACTTTTTTATCATGTCCTGATAATGTAGTTAATGGCTCAGTGATATCTGTTGTCAAATCATTAATTTTCCAAACACAAATATTTTGATCTTAAGATGATGTAGCTAAGTATTCATCATCAAAAGGATACCAATCCAAATCCAATATTGTACCTAAATAATCTACATAATATAAAACCTTAATGTCCTTTTATCATAGGTGTGTCAAAAGGAAGTTTAGTGGGTTTATCAGATCTCAAAACACAAACAAGTCCGCCACCACCGGTTTACCAAAGAAGGGCTGTGTATAAACCATTGGCCTTGAAATTTTTAAGTTAGATTTAATACCTTGACCATAGTGGAGTCACAAGTGATGGTGGTTGGTGTTACTTATTCAAATTTTGATTTCATTTCTTCTCCATAAAGATGCTTGAATCTTAATGCCTTCATTGAATATCTTAATTATATTATTAATATGTAAATAAATTAAATTTTTTTTGGATATTTATAAATAAATATAAATATCAATTAAATAAATAGTATATCAAATTTTAAAATATAAAAATTAAGATTAATATATTTGATGTTTCATCTAATCTCATTTATATAAATTATAGAATATGTTAAATAATTGATAAAATAAAAATATTTATTAATTAAAATAATAATGATTATATATATATATAATAATATTAATAATAACAATTAATTATTTTTCTAAAAATAGAAAACTATATTTAATGTAAAGTAAATTTTAATCAAATCCTCAATCCTTTGTAAAGAATGACGTTGTGCATTTATAAATGGATTTATTAAATAAAGGAAAATAAAATTAATTTTTTTAATTCTGTTTAAAGAAAATGCAATAGGTAGATAACAACTAAGAGTCGCCTCATAAGAAAAAGTTTGTTTTACCAAAAGGTCATTTCCTTTTTACATCAGAGAGTGTTAGTGCTGGTCATCCAGATAAATTATGTGATTTTATCAGTGACAGTGTGCTTGATGCTTGTTTAGAATAAGACCCAAACTCAAAAGTAGCTTGTGAATCAGCATGCAAAAACTCTCTTGTTATGGTATTCGGAGAAATCACTACTCATGCTCAAGTCCCATATGAAACTATAGTCAGAGAAGCAATAAAGTCGGTTGGATATGATAATATAAGTAAATATATAATATACTAATATATTTAGATAAAGGATTGGATTATAGAAATGCTTCAGTTATAGTATCATTAGATCAATAATCATAAGAAATCAATTAAGCAGTTGTAGGATCTAAACATGAAGATGAAATTGGAGCAGGTGATTAAGGCTTAATGATTGGATATGCATCTGATGAAACACCAGAACTAATGCCATTAACACATCATCTCTGCAATAAACTAATTTCAAGACTCTAAGAATGCAGAGTAAATGAAATCTGTCCTTGGATGAGACCTGATGCAAAGGTCTAAGTTACAGTTGAATACAAACGAGAAGATTCTTCATTTTATCCTGTTAGAATACATAATGTACTTATATCCTAATAACATGATGAAAAAATAACTCATAGTGAAATTGAAGCAGAATTACATAAACATGTATTAAAGTATCTATTATTTATTCTATTCATTTAAGATATGTCTTACCATCAAAATATGTTGATGAATAAACTCAATACCATTTAAATCCTTCTAAAGCTTTCACTGTAGGAGGACCTTATGGAGATGCTGGATTAACAGGTCGTAAAATAATTGTAGATACTTATGGTGGATGGGGTGGCCATGGAGGAGGGGCATTCTCTGGTAAAGATCCTACAAAAGTGGATAGAAGTGCTGCTTATGCTGCAAGATGGGTAGCTAAATCACTTGTTGCATCAAAATTATGCAAAAGAGTCATGATTCAAGTTGCCTATGGAATAGGTATAAGTGAACCTCTTTCTATATGTGTTAATTCATATGGAACATAAGCTGAAGGACTAGATGATGATGATTTGTCTGAAATTGTTTAAAACCATTTTGATCTCAGACCAGGAGTCATTATAAGAGAATTAAAATTAAGAAGACCAATATATGCTAAAACTGCCTCTGGAGGACATTTTGGTAGAAATGAACCAGAATTTACTTGGGAACATCCCAAGATTATCAATTTAAGTGCTTGGAAAGCTCATAAAGCAGAATAATAATAACAAAATTAATGAAAAAATAAAGTGAATTTATTAACAAAAATAAATAAACAAGTAATTTTCATCTTCTTTTATTCAATTCAGCTCCTAATAATTTTATTTAATCTCTTAATTGCAAATTTTCAATCATTGTTTTCTAAAATATTAATATCTTAATACTTCTAAAATATCTTGAACATTTTATTTCTTTCTTAATGATTAAATTAATTTAATATCTTCTTTATCAATTCTAAAAGCTAATATTTAAATTATTACAAATCTGCCTCTGATAAACTGGGATATGCTTTGCTGAGATTATATGCTATTGATTGTATATATGCTATTTTTTCTTCTAATTAATTTGTCAAAATAGCAATTTTGGCATTATATTAATCTCTTATGGTTTTATTTTAAATTTCTAATTCTTGAACTCTATTAGCCAATGATTCAACTACTATTTTTTCTTTTTTTGTTAATGGGGCATCAAGGGAAGGCTTTTATCTAAATTACATTTCTCTCATAATTTATAAATCTTTAGACATATTATGATTTTATTCCTCTAATTATATTAATTATTTTTATTTTAAGATTAAATCTTGTGTTAATTATTCAGTTTCTTAAGCATATTTCTTTTATAAGAGTCTCAACTAATTTCTTAAATCATCATTAACCAAATTTTAATCATTATACTTTTATTCTAAAATAGAAAACTCTTAAAATTATGTAGACAAGATTTTCTCTAAATCTTTTAATTTAATTGATTTTTAATCTAATTCTGATTATATATTTTATAAATATTTTTTGGTCTTTGATAATTCATCACACAATTCATCATATTTCTCTTGCAACTAAAATTTAATATATTAATTTACTTTTATTCTTTATTTTTCATTTTATTTAAGTTACTTTGAAGTATTATCCAATTCTTCTATTTTTCTTTAATTCTCATTTTCAAGCTATTTTATTAACTATAAAATTAATGATAAATATTATTACACTTTATTAATCTTAATATTCTGATAATGTGCTTAATGCTTATTAAAGTTCACTTTCTAATTTAAATTTATTTTAAGAAATGATTCTTAAGTCTTTTAGTTCTGAATTACATAGTTTTAAATCTTCTTTAAGTTATGAATTTTATTATTTATACAATCCTAATTCAGCACTCATTTTAGAATTTATAACACTGCTATCATCAATTATTTATTATAAAGCCTAACATTTCTAAACTAGACTTTCCATTGAGAGATTAGTTTTTTATTGTTTAGTATTTAATGCTTTTGCTTATTCCTCTTAAAGTTATTTTAATTAAGAAACTTCTGTTTGTAATAATTTAATCTAATTTAATTAATCTTTAGATTTCTTATCCCAATTTTATAACTCTTTTACAGGTATTGTTACAGTTTTTTCTTAATTTTATGTTTATTAATGATTTGATAAATAGGGATTTAAATTAACTGAATCTATATTTTATTTAACTTATTATTATTATTATTATTATTATTATTATTATTATTATTATTATTATTATTATTATTATTATTATTATTATTATTATTATTATTATTATTATTATTATTATTGTTGTTATTATTATTATTGTTATTATTATTATTGTTATTAATATTATGATAATGCTTATTGTAATTAAGATTGCTATTACTAAGTTATTGATTATAATTAAGATTGTTATTATATTATGACTTTTTATTATTCTTAATTATCGATTTCCAATTATTTGATTTGGTTCTTCAACTTTTCAATCTAATTTCCTAATTTTTCAAATTATTCTGAATAATCTTCTTCTTATTTTAATATATAGGCATTTAATTCTTCTATTTAAGTATCTTTATTTTATTCTTATTCATTCTAATCATTATTTCCATCAACTTTCAATTTAAGTTCATCAATCTAAACTTATTTTTCTTAAATCTTTTATTTAAGTTCATCATTTTCTGTTTTCAATTCCTTACATTTAAAATCTAACACTTCCATATCATTTAAACTATTTTACATCATCTTTCCTTCACTTTCTACAGTTTCTAATTACTATTTCAATTCTTAAATCAATCTATGTAAATCATCTATCTAAGATTCATGCTTCTATTTTTATAATAATAATCTATTTTCATATTTTTATTCCATATTATACTGATCTTCTTAATTAGCACATAATTGTAAATTCAATTAATCTATTTATAATTCCTTCTCTTTTAAAAGTGTCTGAGATTTTTATAATGATTGAATTATTTCATCTTATTCCATTCTTTATCTAGTTAATAAATCAACTTCTTATTAATACTCTTTTTCTTTTTTTTCTAACTATTCTAATAATTGTTTCTTTTATTCTTAATTTTAAATTTCTAATTTTTAAATTTATTCTTTTAATTCTTCTACTTCAATAATCTACTATCCTTATTGCTATTATTATATTTCAGATTATTATTAATTATCAATTTATAATTGTTCAATTATATTCAATCTTTCTTATTCATGATTAAATTTATATTATTCATCCATAGTAATTTTTAATTATTCCAATTCATTTTTATGATTTTCATTTATTATAGTTAATTTATCTTATAATTCTTAATATAGATTTTATTTAATTTCTAGTTCTTTTTTTAATTATGATATCTCTTCGTTTAATTTACTTTCACTTTCGTTGAATTATTTTTCTAAATTTTCATATTTTATATTTAATTCTTAAAATTTAATTTTTATATTATTTTCTTGTTCAATACTCTCTTTTTCTTTTTCTTAAGCCTCTTCTAAACTTAATTACATGACTTCAATCTCTAATTGAGTTTTTTCTTCTTATATCTTTGATTAATTCCTAAGCTGAATTATTAAATTTTCTAATTCTTAATTTTTTTCCTATAAACTTATATTATTTTATAAAAGTTATTCTTTTTATTGTAATTCATTTTAAATCTACTAATTTAGAATATCTAAGTCTTTATTTTTTTATTCAATTTCTTTGAGTGACTATTCTTTTATAATTGAATATTGTCTTTCTTAATCTTACAATTATTAATTCAAATCCTGTATCATAATATTTAATGACTCTAATTACTTAGTTAACTCATTGTTTAAATTTTCTAATTCTAAGTTTTTATCAGTTAATATTTCAATTTCTTTTCTATTTTATTCTTATGAGGCATCTATTTATTAATTTTCTAATTCAGATTTTTTTAATAATTATGCTAATGCTTCAATTTCATTTAATAATTCTGATTGATAAGTTTCATATTATGATGATAATTGTTATTTTTCTAATTAAAATAATTCCTTCTCTTATTGTTTTTCATTAATTAGATTAATATTTAACATGTCAATTTATTGTAATTATTCTTAAACCTTTTAATTAAGAATTTCAATTTCTTTTTTCATATTAGAATTATCTTCAGAAATATTTTAATTTACAAGATTCTATTGTTGTAATTAATTTATTAATTCATTTTACTCTTATATTTATTCTTATGCTTTTAGATGATCTTGAGTAATTTATTTAATTTGATCTTTTAAATTTTGAACTTCTATCTATAAATCTTTTTCTTAATTTTGTAATCTCTAAATTTCTTATTAAAATTCTAAACACTCTTTATCATATTTTTATGTTAATTCCATATTAGTTTTTTCATTAGATTAAATTATTTTTTGATATTCTATATTGTTGGCCTCTATCATTTGACATTATTAATTACACTAGTCTTTCAAAAGTTAAATCTATTGAACAAGTGATTCATTTTCTTTTTTAACCAAATCTATCTAATTCTAGTAATCTTCTTGTAATGATTTAATCATATTTTCTTGATTGATATCTTAATTATTGTCTACAAACTTTGATTTATTAGTATTTAAGTTATCATCATCTTAAGAATCTTAACTTATTGGAATTTGCTAATCTTCTAAATCTAATTTTTCTCCTGAATTATCCATAATATTAAAAAGAAATAAAATTAATAATTTGTTATGTTTTAGATGTCTTAAAGAAATACAGTATAAATATTAAGATTATTAATAATATGATTCTTTTTTATATGATAAATTATCTAACAATCATTTGGATATTAAACATCTATTTTATTGAATTAAAATAAAACACTGTTATTTTAACATAATAAATAAATTTTATCAATAATGCTGTTGCAATAATCAAGAAAGAGTGTGGCACAACCTTAATAATAATAAACAGCTTCATCTCATACTATAAAGATGATTTCTGAAAAATGGAGAAGAATATCTTCAGAAGTTGATAATTAAAAAGCAAGCAGACTCTAGTAACTACAAGAAAAAATTAAATAGATTGAAAAATAAGCATTAACTGTTAATAATAGTCAAATCAAATAATTATAAGATTCAATAAATACTCTCAACTAAAATGTTTAAGATCATTTGACTTAAGATTATAATCATAAAACATAAAAAACTTATGAAAATACAAATAATTCTTTAGAAAAGAGTCTACAACAATAAAATTAATAATCATAGGATATGGAGAAGAGGTTAACTCATCTACTTGATTGGAGTAATCTTTAAGACTAGTTGTCAAGAAATGAATCACAATATGATTTTAGTCTTCAAAACAAATTATAAATGATTGCTGATTCAGTTAATTAGATTGAAGACATTCTAGAAAGTGAAAGAGAACAAAGGTAAATCTATATTATTAATAATAGAATGTAATCCTTTGAATAAATAGAAGGTGAATTAGAACAAAATCTTTTTTAACTTAAAAATTATATTTCATAAGAATCTAGTCTAAGAAGATAAAAAGAAAATAAAATATTTGATATGATAAATGATGTGCATTAGAACTTATCATATATGTTGTAAGATGAAAAGAAGGAAAGACAAATTATGACAAACAATTTGATGCAATTAATGGATGATGCTTGTCTTAGAATTGATAGAAGTCTAAGTTCATTTTGATAATTTTATATTTTAATTAATACCATATTCTCTAGATTCTTAAATGACATAGATAACATAACAATAGAAACAATCTGTATCACTTCTCTATTTCATATAATTAATGAGTGTTAATTGTAAAATATTTAATAAAAGTATTATTTATTCCCTCAATCCACAATTAATCTAATTTTAAATAATTCAGAACATATATGATCAAATAATTAAATTAGAAGAACAATCTAATTGTAGAATCATATTACTAATATATCAGATCTAATAAGATTTATTTTGCAGTTAAATTATTTGAAAGTTTTAAAAGAGATTATGATGCACTTCCAGAATTTCATATAAATTATATATAATTTAGATGATTGAAGATGTTGATAATTACTATCAACATGCAATACTTTCATAAATAATAAACTAAATAAACTATCAAAAAAGATAAAATTTTTGAAAATAACTTTAAGAATGGTCATTTAATAGTTATCTCAAAATTTAAAAGTAAAGATCAAAATGAATAATAATTTAACAAAAAACTATGCAAAATTATTGTACAGTTTTAAATGAATTATTAATTAAACAAATCTATTTATTGTAAAATTAAGAACGTTAATCTAATTTTATATAGAAAATAAGCAAATAGTTACTTCATATGATTCATAATTAACTTAATTATCAATCTATTTATTCAGAGCCAAAATGTTACACATCTTTTATAGAAAAAATAAGATGATACTTAAAATTAAATTTTAATTAGTTAGCAAATATCAAATAATTTATATTAATAATAAATGTGTTATTATTATTAATAATATTAATTAATTTACATGCAATTTTATATTAATAAAAGCCAACAGGAAAAAAATTCAGTTGCCTAGTAATCCTTCAAAAGATTAACTAATGATCTTCTTGATGAAAAGCTTTAAGATTTAAATGATAATACTTGTTAGATTTAGATGAATTAGAATGGTGACAAATTGTATTTATAAATATCTCCAAAAATCGGCTCGTTTATTTATAACAATTACTAAGTATTTTAAACTTTAGTATTTTAGTTTTAACTAGATTTCAGAATTAATTACCCCTATAGTCCTCCTTTAATTTAAGTAGAGTCGAATATCCCACATCCTAATATTGATTTAAAAAATCATTAACTTTATGTAAAATTTTTAGATCCAAATGTTTGGAAGCCAGTATATGGGTACGTTTATATATCTAAAAAAGGCTATATGATATCATCTAAGCTATAAAATAAACAATTCTCTATATCGATTACACTTATATTCCTAATGACATACAATGTATCAAAAGTGCATAAAGAATGGGTTAATAGGATCATAGTACTGATGAAGAAGAATCAGAAGATAAAGGTTTTGAATTAAGTGAAAACTTTAAAAGAAATTTTGAATTACCTACTCTCTCTAGAATTAGTGTAGAAAATGAATAATCAGATGACACAGAAGAAGAGAACTTAGATGATCCTTCAGAAAGATCTAGTCAAGAGCCAGCAATAATTAATTTAACTAAAAATACTAGACATTCTTTAGATGATAATAATACATTACCTAAACCAAAAAAGTGATTTTTCATCCATTATTACTTATATTTTTAAATCTAATTAATTATATTTGATAATCTTGAATATTTCAAATTGATCATAAATTATCTTATGAATTTATATAGTAATATTTCATATATTTCACTTTATATTTGACTAGAGAGAATAATTGAATATAATTTGCATTTAAATAGTTAATTAATTGAATCCATATTTTTATATTTATATTAAGAATAACATAAAAAGTATTATTATATTCTTTTTGCTTTTTTAAAAATATCACTCATCCTTCAGATAAATTAAAATTGATTTTTTGGTTTTTAATTATTGTCACCTTAAGTTTAAGTTATCATAACATAATTAATAAAAATAGATAATCTAAATATTCAAAGTAACCATCTACAAATAATGACTTTATTGCATAGTTTTCAAATTTCTGAATGTTATCTATGTGAATAACTTGTTCCTTTAAATTATATCAGAAAATTTAAGTTAAAATTAATAAGCTAAAAAGTTTAATAGGATAATCTTAAACTAATTGCAAATCATTATTTTTTTATCAAAATTTTGTTTCAAATATTCTAAATATTACTTTAAAATATCCATAATAAGTTCTTTAAATTTTATTAATACAATGTATTCATCTTATTTAGTGTTTACAACCATTCTTATTCTTAATCTTTTATAATTTAATCAATACACATTAATTTTTATTAATGTTATTTTTCTTATCAGTCGCAATAATAAATTGCTTACAATTGAAACTCTAACCATTCAATTATTAGAAAGGAGATTTAATTGATACAGCATATTCAGTAAATTATATAAATATAAATATTAGGTTTCCTTACAAATTGCTGGTTCAAACTATTAAATGGTAATTGATAATATTAATTCTTATTCATGGATATATTCTAAAAACCCAACAAATAACAATTAATGTATCAATTGTCCATCAGCTGTCTAATAATTTGATTGTAAAGAAACTGATGGTTGTGTAAAGGTTTAGAATTCTGAACCAATTACATTATAAAACTAAAATAAATGCATCTTATCTACAAATGTAAGTGAATTTACTATGAAAATAAGAATATAATGTTAGATCGCCAGTCATTTGATAAATTTTAGATTTGCCTATCCTATGATATTTCTAATCAGCAATATAAATTAAATGGGGTTTTGAGTTTAACAAAATTAACAGAATCTCCAAATAAATCAAATTTATTTTATTAGTAAGTAAAATTTGAATTAGATTAGAACAACACAGCTTATAATAAATTTACCAAATTTCAACAAGTGTGGGATAAGAAAGAATTTTCATAAGTGAATAAAGTAGCTATTAAATCCAAAAATAAATAACATATTAAAATTAAGCAGAAGATCAATGGAAATTATAATATCAATTATCATATAAAGATATTTAATTTCTTAAAAAAGAAGATAATTAATTTATTACTTTTGATTTAACAACTAAATATAACTATTTTACATAAGATATCATTAAAAAGATAATAACTTAAATAAAAAACTATTAAAGTTTGGTAAATTATTCTATTAATTTTTAGTTTTGCTCTATAGAAAATAAAAGATTAATGTGTCTATGTCCAAAACCAGAATTTATTGATAAGATACCAAAAATTAAAATTGCATTTAATGGATTACCTAATACTTTTACTCTACCCTTAAATCCAAAATATTTAAAGGCAGAATAAAAGTGTGAATTAGACGTATTCCAACATAATCAATACTCAATTTTAGGAAATTAATTCTTTTAGTAAATATATGGTATTATCTATTTAGATAAAATGGAGCAATATTTAATTCAAAAGATAACACAATTATGATAGGATAATCCAATTAAGATACTGAGGATAGCTTTACATTTCCCAATAATTCTATATATTGTTTATTAGCAGGCTTCTTAATATTGTTTGGTTTATTATCTTTAATATTAATACTCAGGTAATTATATTTATAAAATATAAAGTAAAATCTCCTAGGAGTAATTATCAAAGCCAAAATATGAACAACCACAACCAAAACCTTTATATGTTGTGTCAAACAATCAACAAATGTTTAAACCTTATAATCTTGAATTATCAACAAATTAAAAAATGATATATACAAGAAGATGAATTATTATATGATTATTTGCCAGTTAATAATAGAAATATTTTAATATTAATAATAAATGATATAATTTATTAAATCATAATGGTTTTTTAGCTATTAAAGATAATGCTTCAACTGTAAATGGTAGATTTAGATTCAATCTATTTTATACTTCTGATTTATATAATGAATAGAATTAATCAACTTATTCTTTTGAAGCTTTATCTAAAATTTCTCTAAATTGTGGAAAAATATAATTATCATCTATATCAAATAAATCAAATGGAATTGTTTAATTCCAACATACTATAATTATTAATATATTATTTTATTACCAATCTCTTTAAAACCATGTTTATATATGAAATTTATTAATCCTTCTCGATTTTCTAATTCAGTTGGTTTATATGCTGCGTTTGGTATTAAACCAGCTTAGATAAAGCATTTTTATAACGATAGCATTGGAACATTACCTAAGACTACAGGAATCACAATTCCTATTTTCCCTCCAGGCTTTAATACTCTAAATGCTTCCTACAAAGCTTAATCTTTGTTAGCCACTAATTGTAATACTAAATTTGAAATATAGATATCAAATTAATTATCATTCAATTATGGTAATGATTATACATCTCCTTAAAAAACTTTATATTTATTTTATTCTAATAATGGACTATCTAAAAAATTTGAACATCAAAATTACTTAGATCAACATTTTCAATCTCTTAATCACTGATATCTTCAATTTAGCTGTTAAAAGGATTATTAAGATATTTAATCATTCTGGCTGCGGCTATTTTTGTCATTTCAAGAGAAAAGTCAAATGCTGTTAACCTACAGTCCTTTTTTCTTTACTGTAAAATATATTAATGTAAATGGCCTCCTGCGCAACCAGCATCTAGTATTCTTATTTATTTTAATAGTTTACTCATCTGCTTCATTCACTCTTAACATGTTTAACAAAGAAAATTGAAATCCTGCTGGATTTTTTTCGATATTATGATAACTCTTACTATATGCATCCCAAATTTTAGATTGATTCATTAATTTGTTAAAGATATTAATTAAAAATAAGAAAATGCTTATATAAAAATAAAGAATCCGCTTAAATTATTTTGTTATTAATTTAATTTTTCGTAAAATAATGTATTTATTAATGAAGAATAAAAAAAATTATGATTTCTTAATACAAATATGATTATTATGAATTCATAAAAATACTGTATAAATCTCTTATTTTTTATAATAGAATATCTACAAATTTGTGAAATGGAATTGAATATTTTAATTAAATTTCCATTTTTGCCATAACACAAATTACTGAATTTTTCATAAAAAAGAGTTATGAATTCAAATTTGATAATTATATAATTTTAAATATAATTTTTCATGATTAGACGCCCTAGATTTTTAAGTCCTTAAGAGAGAGTGAAATCTCCTCCTCCTCATGTTAATTTACAGTTTCCACACAAACACTCTCTTATGATGTAGGTAAAAACTTATATTAATTAGACTGGTCCTTATGTATTTGATCGCTCTTAAATAATTGGAAAAGGATAATATTCTGTTGTGTATAAAGGATATGAATAGAATAAACCTAGTCAAATAGTTGCGGTTAAAGTGATTACAATTCAATCAAACAATCCAATTCAAATGTACATGATAGAAAACGAAATCAACACTCTTTAACTTTTGGATTCTCCTCACATACTTAAACTATTATATCATCATCAAAACAATAAAACTGTATTTTTAGTGACTGAATTTTGCAATAAAGGTAATTTATCTAATCAAATTAATAGGTGATCTTTTACAAAAATTATAACGATCTCTAATTTCAGAAGAAGAGGCATTACAATATACTCTACAAATTGCAAAAGCATTATAAACTATTCATTCACATAATATAAGTATGTATTCAATTTAATTTTAGTGCATGGAGACATAAAATCTGCAAACATTTTACTATCAGATAGATGTGTTTTAGCAGACTTTGGGTTTGCATAGAAAATAGATTAGGCTTAATAAACGTTTATAATAGGCACACCTCTTTATATGGCACCAGAAGTGCTCTTTGATAATGAGATAAATTGTTAAGCAGATATGTGGTCTTTAGGTTGTGTGTTATATGAAATGGTTTATGGACAATCACCATTTTATTCTGAGAATAACGATATTTTAAAAAATACATTAACAAAGTTTAAAGAACATGGTAAATTAATATTTCCTAACACTGGAGTTTCTAAAAAAATTTAAGCCTTAATCTTATATTTAATTAGAATAGATCCAAGTTAGAGATTAACAGCTTCATAAACAGTTTCTTTACTTGAACCAGGGAATGTCAATGAATAAATTAAATTAAATGAAAATCAAATTAAAATTAAGCAAGAATTATTAAACTTAGATGAAAAAGAAGCTCCAAATTTAATGCTTTAGTAATAATAATAATAGGCCAACATTAATGAAAATAATATGAATTCTAATTCATAATCAAACTAAACTTCTATTTAGGATATTCAATCTACTCCTGATAACTAAAAGAATACAGGAGGTCACAATTCATAAGATGAACATAGAAGAAGTACAAAAAATAGTAATTCAAGTGCTAAGAGAAAAAAACTATTGCAATAATTAAATAATCTTAATTCAAGGAATATTAATTCATAAATTAATAATACACCTTCTTAATAAAGTTAGCCATAAAATACTTAAAACTCTGATGTAAAGAAAATTCCACAAAAGAATATTTAATATCCATAATAAATTAATCCTAATACTCCTATTAATCTGAGTAATAATAATAATAATAATAATAATAATAATAATAATAATAATAATAATAATAATAATAATAATAATAATAATAATAATTCTAATAATAAAACTATTTCTTTATTAGATTTGGTTAATTATTTTTATAAAGTTTATTAATTAATAATAAATGGTAAAGAAATTAAATTAGCTTTCATATATCTTAAGCTTGTTAACATTTATTATTTGGCTTATTTAGAAGAATAATCTAAATAATAGAAAAAAGTAATATTTGTTAGTTGTCAAAATGATTATTTTGAATTAGAAAGAGAAATTAAGAATAAATATCCTTATTGGCTAAAGGAGGAGGAATTTTAAAAGATTTTTCATAGCAAATTTACTCTTACATAAGATTTTCTTAAATATTCACTGAATTATTTGAATAAAGCAGCCGTTGATTAATAGTAAGATGAAAAAATAACAGAAAAAATAAAGAAAACTCTATAAATAATATAAATTCTTGTGTCAAATGAGAGAAGTAGCACACTTTAATTAGATTAATAAATTATACGGCTTCATAGACTTAATTCCAAAGTTTGATATATATATATAGTTTCTCATAATATAAGGATATCACAATAAAATTAATGCAATATTTATTTACTGATTCTTAAATTTTGAAGTTGTAAATTGCTTATTAATATATCCTAAATTGTATAAATCAATTGAATTCTATAAAAAGATGTTATAGACTTTAATCTATAAACATATTATCTAATTCACTTGAATAAGAAATAAAAATTATGAAATGGAATTGTGCATCAAAATAATTAATACAGAAATGTATTGATATGTAATATAAATAACAATACAGCCACACATTCTAATGTACATTAAATTAATTAAATTAAAAATGTTAAAGCATGCCTTAAGAGTGATGTAAGTCTTTAGACCTAAATTATTGCATTGTACACCTCTTTAGACATTGGCAATAAGAGGACCTCTTTTTACTAACATTCCTGTTAGCTATTTCAGCACATCCTTGCCAAAACATAAGAAATTAGAAATGCCTGCACTGTATTTTAGATGTAATATAATTATAGATCACCAACTATGGAAGCAGGAAATATTTAGAAGTATTTAAAGAAAGTAGGTGATCCAATTACAGCAGGTGATGTACTTTGTGAGGTCGAGACTGATAAAGCAACAGTGGGATTTGAAATGCAAGATGAGGGATTCTTAGCTCAAATCCTTGTCCCTGAAGGTAAATAATATTAAATAAAATAAATTAGGCTCAAAGGGAGTCAAAGTTGGATAATTAGTTGCAGTAATTGTTCCAAAGTAGTCAGATGTGGCATCATTTGCTAATTTCAAAGATTCGCCAACTAAATAACCTGAGTAAAGTTAAGCAGCTTCAAAACCAGCATCTCAACCATAATAAACTCCAACACCTTAACAAGCACCTTCTAGAGCTACAGGAGGTGCATTTCCAAAACATTCGAAATTAGGCCTTCCTGCTCTATCACCAACAATGGAGAAAGGAAATTTAATGAAATGGCTTGTTAAAGAAGGAGATAAAATAAGTCCTGGAGATGTGATTTGCGAAATTGAAACAGATAAGGCTTCTGTTGGTTTTGAAGTTCAAGAAGATGGTTACATTGCAAAATTAATGGTACCTGCTGGAACTAAAGATATTAAATTAGGAACTGTAATTTATAATATAATTTTAGATATTGGCTATCTCAACTCCAAAGAAAGATAATGTATCTAGTTTTGTTAATTATACTCTTGAGGGTGCTTCTGCAGCTGCTTAAACTATATAAGCACAACCAACAGAATAATAAGAATAATAATAATAATAATAATAATAATCTTTAAATAATGATACACCAATATAAACAGTTTCTTAATCTGGTTCAAGAATATTTGCTTCACCACTTGCTAAAGAATTTGCTAAAAAGAATAATGTTGCTTTAGAATATATAAGAGGTACTGGTATAGATGGAAGTATTGTCAAAAAAGATGTTGAAAGATTTATTTAATCTGGATCAAAACCTGAAGTCTAAGTTTAATAATAATAAGCTGTTTCAACTCCTTAATAATCACAATAAACTTAAACTACTTCTTAAGAATAACCAACTTAACAAACAACTCCTCCTCCTGTTTAAGTTAAATAATAAACTAAACCAACAACTGCTTCAAAACCAGTTGCTATTGAAGGCAATCCATATGTTGACACAGAACTTACTAATATGAGATAAACAATTGCTGCTAGGTTGTTAGAATCAAAAACAACAATCCCTCACTATTACTTAACAATGACAGTTACCATGGATAAAGTCTTAAAGTAAAACCTATTTCATTATTTAAAGAGTGCGAGAAGAATTGAATAAACTATAAAAAGTGAAAATTTCTGTCAATGATTTCATAATCAAGGCAAGTGCTTTGGCTTTGAAAGATATTCCATAAGCTAATTCATAATGGCATGGCACATATATTAGAAAATTTGCAAACGCTGATATTTCAATAGCTGTTGCCACTGATGCTGGTTTAATCACTCCTATTGTTTTCAATGCAGGTAGCAAAGGTCTTGGTACAATCGCTTCCACTGTTAAGGAATTAGCTGATAAGGCAAAAGCTAATAAACTTAAACCTTAAGAATTTATTGGTGGCACTTTTACCATTTCAAATTTAGGAATGTTTGGAATTGATTAATTTATTGCTGTTATTAATCCACCTTAATCAGCAATTTTGGCAGTTGGAAAAACAAGTAAAAGGTTTGTTCCTGATGAAAATGGTTAACCAAAGTAAATATATATAATATAATTTTAAGGGTTGAAAATTAAATGGATGTTACATTATCATGTGATCATAGAGTAGTTGATGGAGCTGTTGGAGCATAATGGTTACAAAGATTTAAATTTTATATTGAAGACCCTAATACATTATTGTTATGAGCTTTATTAGAATTTATAAATAAAAAATGTATTTATATAAGTTAAATTGATATAATATCATCATAATTTTATAGCCCAATACAATTTCATCTACTTATTCGATTTCTAGATATTATTTTGATTATAATATAAATTTATTTATCTATATATATGAATTTCATATGCATCATTATATATATCTATAAAGAATTTAGTTTAAGTGTATATTTATGATATAATATAATTATTTGCAATAATTAAGATTTGATATTCTAAAATTTGATATTCTAAAGCTCACAAAAATATAAAATATTTAAAAATTGATGAAAAATTTTACCCAAATTATGAAAAAATCTTTAATTTAATAAAAAGTCCAATACAAATATAAGAATAATAATTAATTATTTTGGATTATTCTAAATCATTTTTTTCGATTTGTGAAAATTTGCTATCAATATAATTTTCCCAAACAAAAAAACAGAAAATAACTCTACATTTTTAATTTTTTTAAAATATTCTACAAAATTTTTTTCAATAAAATTGTATTATATAACGTTATAATTTTGTTATTAGCAATATTTAAAAAAAGTCCACAGAAATTAAATTATTTACTTTGATATAGAATTGGTTCAATGATGGCTGATATTTTTTTCGACTAAATATAACTATGATTAATTGCTATATCAGGATTCAATTTCATTCATTCTCCACTTAACTATTTTCATCTATGATTATAAATAAATTATAAATGCAGTTATACATAATTAAATAATTTTATTCAATAATAACTAATAAGGTTATTTTTTTTTAATTGTTGAGATATTTTTTAATTTAAAAAATGCTATTAATTAATGTAAAAGATGTACTTAAATTCTTAAAATGTATTATTATATACATTGATAAATAATTAAAATTAAAGGAATAAAAAAATTTATCATCTCATACACATTTATTGTAAAATAATAATATTATTTCTGAAGGTTTTTTTAATAAATCTAAGTAGAAGCCTAAATTAAAAGTGCTTTAACAAAAAATATAAGACATTTCAAATGACTAAGAGATATGGGTTTAACTTGAGTTCTTTTTGATGTTGATTTTATATAAAAAATTTTATGAAATTTAGTGATATTTTTATTAATGCTTTTATTTTAATAAGAATTTAAATAGAGATCACATATTCTTTTTAATTTTTAAACTTATTTATCAAAAAAATCGAAAATATTAATTAAGAATTCAGAAAATTCATTTCCTTATTATATATTAATAAATTAATGACGAAATTGAGTATTTGCAATGATTTCATCAAAAATAATACGCATCAATCTAGTATTTTAAACGCAACAATTCAAACTTAAAATCTTAAAATTTTAATTCATGAATCACCACACATGGGATGCTTACAGCAAAAGTTATTTAAACATATAGAAAAATCCTGCTACATTTTAACTCACTTTAATGAATATGTTGAGATTTGAGCAAGCAGATGAGTAATAATTATGGAATAATATTAGAATTTTAGATGCAGGATGTGCAGGTGGACAACTACATTAATATATTTTACAGTAAAGGAAAAAGAATTGTAAATTGACTGCATGTGATTTTTCTATGGAAATGGTCAAGTTAGCATCTGCAAGAATGTTAAAATTTTTAAATAACCCACTTGATGGAGCAATATCAGAAATCAGTGCTTAAGAGATTGAAAATGTTGATTTAAGTAATTTTTATATTTAAATATTTTAGATAGTCCATTATTAGAATAAAATAAATATAAAGTTTTTTAAGGAGATGTATAATCATTACCATAATTGAATGATAATTAATTTGATATTTATATTTCTAATATGGTGATACATTTAGTAGAGAATAAAGATCTAGCACTATAGGAGGCTTTTAGAGTATTAAAGCCTGGAGGGAAAATAGGAATTGTGATTCCTGTAGTTTCTGGGAATTTATTAATGTCAACATTGACTAAATGCTTTATATAAGCTGGTTTAATTAAAGATATGCCATTTAAACCAACCGATATTGAAACAAGGTAAGATATAATAAATTTCATATATAAACATGGTTTTAAAGAGATTGGTAATAAAATAATATATTAATAATTATAGTATGTTGGAATTAAACAATTCCATTTGATTTATTTGATATAGATGATAATTATATTTTTCCATAATTTAGAGAAATTTTAGATAAAGCTTAAAAAGAATAAGTTGATTAATTCTATTCATTATATAAATCAGAAGTATAAAATAGATTAAATCTAAATCTACCATTTACAGTTGAAGCATTATCTTTAATAGCTAAAAAACCATTATGATTTAATAAATTATATCATTTATTATTAATAATTTAGTTATCTTATTATAAGGATTATAGAATCTTTCTTGATAAGTAAAAATTTTGTAATCAAACTATCTTTACACATAATATATTCTTAATAAGATCTTATTATGATTATAAAGGTTTGAATAATAAAATGTAGAGTTTGAAATAAGAATCAGTTTAAAAATCTCTTAATATTCAACAATTTATTGAAATTTATAATCAAATGTTGTATTCCAAATTAATTTTTTTATTAAATAAAGTTGACTCTTTAAGCCACACATAGTTTATATAAATTTTATCATAATAATAATTAAAATATATTATCAAATTCTTAATATGGATACTATCTTTTTTTACATAACAATAAGCTTTAAATATAGTAATTTACTATATGAATAATAAAATTAGAATTAAATAAAGAGTCTAATTAATAGATGAGTTGATATATTAAATCATATTTATGTAATAAAAATGTCTAAGATTGAAATGCCTTAGAAAAATCTGCAGCAAAGCTTAAAAATATTTTTTCTGTATTTTAAGACTATAAGGATTAGCGGGAATATCTAATAATTAAATTAATGACCAAAAGAAAACCATAATTTGATATAGGAAAGGATGAAGATGACGAGGAGGTATTACCAGTTGTTGGTGTTATTAATACTGCAGAAGAAATTCAGGAAAGAAAGTAAATTTACATAAAAAATAAAAGAATTTTGAAGATCAAAGGACCAAAACAAATAGAGAATAATCAAAATACAAAAATTGTTATAACTGCACCACCACCATCATTTGAATAAGCAGGATCTGATTAAAAACTATCAACACCCCCTAAAAAGTTCTAACCAACGAATATATTTAATTCTCAACAAGAAAAATTGTTTTTCAATACATAGCCATTAAATAGTTTATAATTACCTTAGCAATAAAAAAATAATATTGGATTGGTTAGTCCTATAATAGAATTTAAATCAATTCGAAAGAGTGATAAATCAATTACTTCTCCAAATTAGGAGACTAATAAAAAAGGTGAAATTTTTCAAGTAAATTTTATTATTAAGACATAGAATAAATTAAAAAAAATAAAAATAGGTGAAAAAGAGCATGAGAATAAAGACATAATATTAATTGTATAAAAAGTAGGAGAGAATCATAAAATTATAATTGAGTATTATTATTTTATTAATATAGACCTGATTTATTTGAAGGATTGGTTGAGAAAGAAAAAACAAAAAAAGAGAATAATATTGTAAAATTAGAATGTAAAAAAGAAACAGATATACATGAATTAGAACTAGAATTTCTTAATGAAAAAGACTATGAATAATTTAATTTATGATTTAATTTCAATCAATACGTTCTTTTTTTCATCCTATAACTTATTTATATATATTTATGTCAATATATTCTTTTAATTAAAAATATCTATTTATTTCTCAATTAGATATTATATTATATTATTCCTTATTATTTATATCCTATTATTTTAGTTGTTAAAAAAATTTTGCAATTTCATCATCAAGTTATTTTTTTAAGTAGAAGTAAAATAATGCTTTTCATATCAATATAAATATTGTAATTATTAAATCCAATTATATTCATCAACCATAATCTATATTATTTTTTAATCTATCTATTATACATAATAGTTGAGAATTAATATAAATTATAAATGTAAAAATAAAGTTAAAGTTATTATGGCTAATGAAATAAGCTTAGAAAAGTATTCTCTTTTATTTCTATTGATAATAAATTAATGATTCTCTAAAAGCAACTATCGAAGTTGAATACCATTTAAAAAAATCACTAAATTAATTATTAATTCCAAATCAACATGTAGAATTATTTAATAGACTATCTCAAAGGATGATGTTGATAATTGGTATAAATAATATTACTTTATTATAGATTAGTATTCAATTAGACATTTAAATTCTCTACTAAAAGAGGAGTAATGGTTAAAGAAATGTATAATGAATTAATTTAATAAATCTTTCTAAAAGAATGTAAAATAATGATTAATCCTAAAGATTTAAAAATTTCCTCAAGATTAAGTAAAAAATACATAACCATAAAAAGTGTTTTTGAATAAAATCTAATCATTATCCCATTGAAGAATTCATTTTTCTAAATCCATCAGATTGCATTCGTTTTTTCTTTTCATAATCTAACATAAACATTTTCCTTTTTTCCTCTGTTTCCTTTCTTATTTAGTCTGCCTATTTACTAATCAATTCTCTATCCTTTCTCATCTATTAACATTTCTCTTCATCTTTAGTCATCTTCTATTCTAATTTCAATCTACGATATCCACTTAATTATTCCATTCTTCTTATATTATCTTCTGTATCTATTTCTTTTATAATCTATTAAGTAATTCTAGTCTTATTCTATATAATTCTACCTGTATTTATTTTCAAATTCTTTTTTACTATTCAAATTGTTCAGCTTCTATTGAGTTCTATTCAATTTTGATTACAATTCATTCCTCTATTATTCTTACATAAATTCATTATTAAATAATATTTATTTTATTTTTTTTTCTTTCTCTTCATATTTCTTAATCTTTTCTTCCATTTGCTATCTTTAAAACTCATCCATTAATTCCTTCTTTTTTAAGTATTCTTATTGTTTAACCTCATATTTTTTTCTCTTTTCTTCCTCCTTATTAATATTCATTTACTTAAAATTATACTATTTTTTACCATAATCTTATTAATTTGCTATTACTTATCAAGATTTTATTTTTACTTTTGCTACTTCACATAATCTAAGAATTATTCAAAATCTTTTCTTTTTGCTTCTACTTAAGCCTCTCTTTTTAAATAATCTTGTCTTTTTCTCTCCATAATTTAATCATTATATTTTCTAACTTTCTCTAATTTTTATTCAAATTCTTTTCTCTCTAAATCTGCATATTTCTTTCTCTCTTCATTCTTAAATTCAATTAATTATAATCTTTTTCTTTCTTTTTCTTCTATTTATTATTTTTTTTATTCTTATAATTTTTATTATTCTAATAAAAATTATTCTTATTCTCTTAAAATTTAATCTTACCTTTATTTTCTATCTTTCTCTTTAAATTCTGCTTCTAATTTAGCTCTTTATAAATTTTCAAGTTCTCTTTATTTTCTTTTTTATTCTTTCATTTCATTTTCTTTTATTTTTTGTTCTTAAATTTCTTTTTCTCTTTATTCTTTTTTTAACTTTTCCTTTTCTAATTATTATTTTTTCATTTCATTATATTCTCTTCTCCTTTTTAATTCTTCTTAAAACTATTATTCTTTTTATTGCTATTTTAGCAATTTCTATTGCATATCCTTTTCTTATTATTCTTTAAGTTGTTCTTACTCAATCATTTTATCAATTTCTATTTATTATCTTCTTTTAATGTTATCTAATATTTTTGATTATTTTTCTGCATAGCTTATTGAACTAAAATTTAATTAAGATTAATTATGAGTACTCTTACTTCTTGTTCCATTTTCTTAAAGTATTTTTTATCTTTATGCTCTAACCAAATCTATCTTTTATTTTCTTTTTTCTTCCAAATGCTTTTCTATTTCACAAATAAATTCATCTGTAAGAGATGGATCTTTTTATTTTACCATTTAAATAACTTAAGCTTTAGTTTTTTTTATAAGTTCATTTTCATGAAATCCTTCTCTTCTACATGCTTCCAAGAATCTTGGAGTTAAAATTTCTGTTGTAATATCATATGTATGCATTATTTTTTATTGTTATATTATTTTAAATTATTTGTGCTTTACTTTTTATTTAATTAAAAATAATCAATACAATAAGACTTTCTATTTGCAAATTCTAATGATCTTTTGAGAATGATCTCAAAGTTCATAAAAAAAAATTAAAATTTATTTACAATTCCTATAATATTCATTAATAAGAATTGATATTAACTGCAATATTTTTATATTTAAAAACTTTCAATCATACATATGGAAACTATTACATAAAAATCATGCTTTTTGTATGACAATTAGGTTTTATCTTATTTTTTGTTTGAATTATAGGAGACATAGATCTAGTATTTTTGTTATCTTTTTAGCCTAATAAAAGGTTAAATGAAACGGAATGCTTGTTACTTCTATCAGAAAAGCTGCTCAAAGAGGAATTTTATTTGTTTTATTTTAAAATACCTTTTGGTTCTAGTTTTTTTTATACTGGTTTATTTTATTATTTCTAACTCTTTTTGGAAGAATTTCCATCTTTTTTTGTTTTTTTCTTTATGAAAGCTTAATTTAGAGGGTCTTCTTAAATTGTATTGAGATTAATTTTATATTGAATTTATTATTCACCAACAAAATTTAAAGAGGGACATTGTTTCGTAATGTTCTGTTAAATATCATCTATATCTGTCTTTTCTAACTTAATTTTACTATCATAACTATGTGTAATGTTATCATTGGTAACATCAAAAAGAAATTCATTTTTAAAAAAGTCTTCTTCAAATGTATCTAAATTTTATGATAAGTTCTAAATCTATGGATGCAAAATTTATTTACTAGGTCTCTATAAATTAGAATAGCTATCTATTCTAATAACTTTTTCATTTTAATTTATGGTCTAATTTTGAATCATACAATTATTGCCCATAAAATTAATCAAGAAATATAAATTAAAGGAGTATTATAATATATTCTTAAGAATTAATACTATCAACAATAATTAACTTGTTATAAAAAAAAAAAATAAATGAAAATTACTTTTTGATAATTAATTGTTTTTCATCATAAAAACCTTGACTTATATGATAAAATCAGAATTAATAAATTATATTATATTGTCAAAATGTATAAATAATATAGACGAAATAAATAAATAATCAATCATCGATCAATAATTTAATCATTTTATTATAAGTAAGTTTCTCATCATCATTAACTATTTATTGTGCTAATTCATAAGAATTTTTAAAACAACTAGGATTTAAAACTGTTATTGTTTTTTAAATATCTTCTGTACCAATTAATCCATCTCTATCTTGATCAATGATTTTTGTTAATAAAGTATTTTTATCTCCAAATTAAATAGCATTTAATAATCGGACTAATGAAATGAAATCAATCTCTTATTATTTCCTACCAATCAACTATTAAATTAACAATGAACTATATTTATGATGTTGTATAATTTAAATAAAATCTGTAGCACTTACAAATCCTTTATTATTAGTATCAAGTTACTAGAATTTCTTGTGTATTCTTCTTATTTATGCAGGAGTGACTTTAATATAAAAATATATGACTTACATTATGTTTCATTCTTGTATAATAGTATCTATTAATCCGTTAATTAAGTATTTCCCATTTTTATTATTAAATTACTTTAATTATTATAATATTACAAACTCCCGCTTTAATTTTACATTGAATTAAGTACTTTTATAAGAATAAAAGCTATTCAATCTAAATTATAAGAAAAATATAAATTTAAATATAATTATGAAGCATTTCATTCAATTGTATCTAATTATTTATATTATTGTTGAATTTCTAATATTTCCAAAGGTAGCAATTCAGAAAGACACTATTTAGTTTAATATCTTGAAATAAGTATAAATTATACTTAAGATAGACTCTCAAAGATTATTCATTAAGAAGTTTATAACTCATCCATAAAATATCTAATTATTAAAATAATAATATTTTACTTTAAATCTCTTTTTTATTATTATTTATTAAATTATCTAACTCTACGAATGTATGTTTAACTTTTAAATATTATTTAGCTTCTAAAAACCTAGATTTTATTGTATTTTTCTCATTTTCCCAATGCTCTTTTATTTTTTCACAACCTTCTCCATATTTAATAACAGATTCTTTTGGAAAAATGCTTAATTCAATTGCCATTTCAGTAAATCTAGGTAATGTTAGATACTTATCTCCTTAATCATCAGCAAAGTCAGCATTTTTTAAAAATACTTATAATAAACTTTCAGTTAACATTTATTAAGTATGGATTGCTCTATAAAGAGTTTTAAACTATATTTTTTATTATATATTATTTACTTCTTAATATTCTATTAGTTTATTTCCATCTAAATCTGCAGCCTTAAATAATGTTTCCAATATCTTTTAATAGTCTTTTTTATTAAATATATAAAAATCTAAGATTTTCATTATAAATTAATCAAAATTAATGTAATGTTTATTAGACCCATATTATTAGTTTAATACCTTAAATTAATTTTATAATTATTGCATTTAATTAGTTTATAACCAAAGTTAAGATTTTTCATTTAAAAATTCATTTGCTGATTCATAAGTTATAAAAAATTCTGTTTTATTGGATTCAATTTTATTATTAAAAAATAAAAAAGCTTCAATTAAAAGTTTTTAAGCAACTTCATCAATTTCATTTTTTAGATTACAATATTTTGAAATTAACAAGACTTTTGCATTCTTTTCTTTCTCAATTATGATAAATTCATAGATCTTAAAAATAAATAATAATAAATTACTTATTTTATTTTTTTTTCAGCCACTTATTTAAATCCATATTTATTTTTTATGAAATCATAAATACAAACATGAAATGGTATTTTATAGGCTTCATTTTACTTTGAAACATCAGTTAATATTTAATTAATAATTTTATTGAATTGTAGGAAAGATAAAGTTTTAGTTAAATTTTTACTATTTATTACTTATTTAAGTAAATTATTAGCTACATCAGTATTTTAACTATAAACCCTTCTAAATTTTTTAGCTTGCTTAGTTTCTTATAGTAAATTAAAATTTAGAGTTTTATGAGCAGAAGCATCTACATATATATAAAACATATATTACATTTAGTAAATTATTTATCTTTATATTATGATATGACATCTTTAATTCTTTGAGAACGGTTTTTTTCATCATCTAAATCAATTCTATCTGATTCTACTAGACTTCTTTAGCTTTAATTTATTTAAGAAATTTCATCTGTTTCTCTTATGGGACTATTACTTATATTATGTTTAGAATTAGTTTTTGTAGGTTTAATAGAATTATTGTCTAATTAATTTTTACTATTTCTTATATGATATTATTGTTGATTGATAATCTTTGAGTCTCCTAATTATTATTATTAAATTCTTTATATAGATTTTGAATTGGTAGGATTATTCTTTGAATTAGTTTTGTTCTTAGTAGAAGTTTTCAAATCATTATTTTTCTATATAAGATTTTCATCTAATTCTTTAGATTTATTATTTTGATTAGGATTTATTAATAGATCTGACTTTGAATGATCAGATGGCATTTAATCTGGAGAATCTTTAAATGTATTTTCATCATTAGGTTCAGATTCTTTTTAACTATGATAAATATCTTATAGGTATCTGATATCTTTTGGGCTGGTTTAATTATCAAAATAATTATCAATTTATTCTGATTAATCATTATTATTAGTTTCTGAATTATCTTCTTAATAATTTTAAGATTTTTAATTGGTTTATTTTTTGAGATTGATTGAATCTACCATTTTAATTAATTTCTCTTATGGATATCTTTCATCATCTAAATTTTAAGATTCTTTACTAAGACTTAATTCATTATCTTCTCTATTTTAATCTATATCATTAAGATAATTATTGATTTAACATTCCTCCTCATCTATTACTTCATTAATTTTAATTTCATATTTACTTTCAATCTATTTCAAAGTTCCAATTAATTAAGTGTTTTTAGTTACAAGTTTATACAATTTCTTTTTGCTATTTTAAATTATTGATATAAAATCTTATACTGTTTATTATAATTTCATTTCCAATTCTTAACATAATTCCTCCTTTTCCAATAATTCCATTTTTTATATTGAATCTAATCTATTCATTGAAATCAATCTCATTGATAATGATTTATTTTATTCACAAACTTCTTTACTTTCACTTAATGTTCTACATAACAATTATTTATTATTTTCATCTAATTTTTATTCTTCTAATATTTTCATAGCCATAGATATTTTTTATTCCAAACTATTAGATACTTATTTGCTTTTCTCCAAAATAGAAATATTTTATTGACTATGTAAATTATGTTGTTCTTATTAATTATTGTTTTAATTTTAAGATTAAGATTAATCTTCTGTTTATACTGATTTATCATCTGTTCCACTTATTTATATTATTTTATTTTAAGAGGGTTATTAATCTTTATCAAAATCTAAATATTTTAGTGATATGATTTAAGATTTTAATTAATTTTCTTATATTCTTAATTATTCCCATCTATCAAACATAATACTATTTTTTTTAGGTGATCTACCAGGAGATTTACTACCTTATGATTTAAATGGAGATTTAATTCTATATTTCTAATTATTATCAATTTTAGCTTGAAAATTCATTAAATGTGAAACAATTGACTATCCCTATTATACTTTTATATTTATTTTTTCATTTTCTGGATTATTTTCATTAATTTATTCAGTTTTTAACATAACAATTTATAATTGTAATTCATCTATTTATTTTCTATGTTATTCAATAACTTCAAGTGCTTCTCTGTATTCTTATGTTAATTATAATATTTCTTATTTTTATTATTAATCAATATCTAAAGCTCTATCATAGTCAAACTATAATTATTTAATTTAATTCTAGCTTTCATTATAAATGAGTTCTTAATAATGAAGTTATTCATTATAAAAATTTTGTTATTCAATCATTTTATTTTTCATTTCTTATTCAACACATTGCATTTATTAATTTGAACTTTTAATTATTTAATCAATCAATTAAATATAAAAATCCCATATTATTTATAGTAATTCTCCTCTATCCACACATTCAACTTTAACTTATCTATATATTAAAATTATATATACTTTATAATTTCTTTAAAACAAGATGTATAAATTAGTTAAATTTCTTCAGCTATTTATATTGATGTTAAATTTTTGCTTTTATCTTTTGTTCTTTAAAGCATAAAGAATAACCACTCTTTCAAATCTAAAGCTTATTATCTATTTGGTGGAATAACTGATTAATTTGGTGATTATTTTATTTCATGTTTCAAAATATCAAAAAAGTATTTTTATAATCCATTCTCCATTAAATTCTTATCTTTTAATAATTCTTCAAAGTCTAACCATTAAACTTTATTAATATTCTTATCAATTTTATTTTTGAATTGTAATTTGTTTTATGATTTTCTGTACATTGTACTATAAAAACTTTATAAAGATTTATCATATTTCTAAAACTTATATATATTGTTTTTACTGTTTAAGATAGTTCTGGATCTTTATATATGCTGCTTTCAATTGATTGAAATTTTTTATGTTTATTTTTTAGATAAGAAACATCAGAATTAGTTTAAAAGTTTTTATTAGTAAAATCAGTTTTCATTCGGTTTGATGACATTTCTGCTCTTATTGTTAGAGGTATACTTGAATTGATACTCTAATCCCAATCTGTCTTTATTAAAAGTTTTGCCTATATTTTATATAAAATACTTTTACTGTTGATTATGCCTTTTAGATTTTAGGGAAACAATTTGTATTATTCATTATAAAAATTAATTTATTATAGACTCTATAATAATTTTAATTAAGTGAACATTTATCTTTAAACATATAATATCATATAAGAAAGATACTCAAAAAATTTAGAATTTTATAAAGAAGTCTTAAGTTATACTGGAATTCAATTTGCTATAAACCAGTAGATTAACTTTTTCAATAATACAACTATCCAACAAAATAATAATTGGTGATAAATATCATCTTATTTATTGTTTAAATTTAATTGAAAATTCAATGATAAATAAAAACATTTCTTATTTATAACATGTTTACACAATTATTAAAAAGCAAGATCTATTTTTATTCTTACTATGGTATTATTATAAAGGTTGGTAAAATTCTAAATTTCTAATTATAAATTATATAATTACAAAATTATTTTCTAAAGTTAAGATAATTATGGAACAATATAATTAGGGATCTTTTAAAGGAAGAAAACATGTTGCCACAATGGTGTTTATTTTTTAGGTGAAAAAGCATTTTTTTTATATTTATATTAAAGATTTTTTAGATTAAGTAGAATATATCTTAATATAATTTTTTAAGATTCTTCAATATATATTAATAAATGCATTAATCTTAGAATTATTCTAATATTTACAAATTTAAAATTACTTATTATATATGGTATATAAATAATTTAAAATAAGTAATTATTATATTGTATTAATGAATAATTGTTAATGAATGATGATAGTTTATATTAAGATTATAATAATAATATATATATATATATATATTAATTGTAATAAATTGATATAATCAACAACCTTTTTTATAAATGATTAAAAATTATTTAATAAAAATTTTGTAATTCTGATAAATAATTGTGCGTAAAATAATTTATTTGTAATTTATTCTAATGATAATAATTTTAAATTAATGCAAATGGATGAGAGCAATAAAACTAAAAAGAATGATTAACCTATTTTAAAGGAAACATCCAAGAATAGAAATGTATTAATATCATTTATTGTCAAAAGATAATTAATAAATTACAAGGAAATCCCTCTAGATTATAAGGTCTAAAAGAAAGTTTCAAGTACTTCACATTATTGAAAAAGAATCAATATTTAGAAAGAAAACAATTTCGAGTAAGTAGAGATGAAACTCTAGTATGCTCTTGTATTTGTTGTCCTGAAAATCAAATTGGAAGGTACAGGATTATATTAAATTTAGTCGTATCTAAGGACCTTAATATTCGTATAATTGCGGTGATAGATGTTTAAATAAATTTACATGTACAGAATGTGATGTAGAACTGTGTCCATGTGCAGAATTATGCAAGAATAGAAGATTTTAAAAGCACGAGGATGCTTGTGTGTATCCACTTAAATGTGGAGGAAAGGGAATGGGTTTGTATGCTGGTGAACGCATATAAAAAGGATAATTTATAATGCAATATATTGGAGAGATTTTCTAGATAAATAGTGCTTTAGGGAGAAGAAGAGTGCAAGAATATTCGGTTTGAATTGTGTGTTTATTTAGAAATCGACATGTACATATTTAATGAAACTGAATAACTAGGAAGTTATTGATCCAACATCAAAAGGTAATTTGGCAAGATTCATTAATCATTCATGTGAACCAAATTGTATAACAGAGAAATGGAATGTATTAGGAGAAGTCTGTATTGGTATATTTGCAAATCGTGATATAAATGAAGATGAAGAATTAACATTTGATTATTAATTTGATGTTTTTCATACACCTTTAACAAAATGTTTATGTGGTGCAAATAAATGTAAAGGTTATTTAGGATTGAAACCAACTGATGTTACTTAAGAAGAATGGGAAGAGCATTTGGAAAATATGGTATGTAAAATATGTTAAACTAAAACACCATAAGATGATGAATAATTATTATTATGTGATAAATGCAATTGTGGATTTCATTTATTATGTTTAGTACCTCCATTAGAATCAGTACCTAAAGATGCTTGGTATTGTTAAGAGTGTTAAGATGAAAAACGTATTTTGGAAGAATAAGAAAAAGATAAAACAAATATAGATAGAATTTAATAAAAGAAAGCTAAAAATTATAATAATGAAAAAAAGTAGAAAAAGAAAAGAGAAGAACTTTCATCTTCATCATGTAGTGATTCTGATAGTGAATATGATAATAGATATAAAATGATGAAGATTTTAGAAAAGCAAACTGTTAGAGAATATTTGTCACTCAAATAACCATAATAATATCTATCAATTAGATAAGATGAAGAATTAAAAAAAGATGAAGATAATCAAATTTCAGAAATACAAGTATCTATACCAGGAACATCTTATTTTAAAAATGATTAATTTATTAAATCATCTATTGAGGTTTAACCTTAAGATTCTGGAAAATTATAATAAATGCAATCTATTGTAGATGTTGCTTAATAGAAATTTGAAGAATAATATAAAGAGAAATTAGAATTACATGAATAAATTGAAGCTATTCAATAATAGAATATTCTAAATATTGATATGATTAAGGAATGTTTTAAAATTAATATTTTAGAATAGAAAGTAGTCAAAAAGAATGCTTAATTAATTTATAAAATTGGAAATAAGATCAGTTTTGAATAGATTGATTAATAATTTGCTGATTTCTTTAAAAAGGAAAATAATCTTACTGTAATAGGATCTATATAATAAATTAATATATTTAGATCTATATTAAATATGGTAGAACATATTATAAAAGAATTAAAAAAAGAACTTGGAATTATAGAAGGATAGATTAAAGTTCCTATTATTTATTTGAAAAGATTAATAAATAAATTGTAATTATTATTAATATTATTATTTTAGTAATAGTTTAGATAATAAATAAGAAGTCAATATTATATATAATAAATCATTAGCACATAGTGAGGAAATATTTCCAATGGATAAAGCAACTCCTATTAAAATTAAAGGATCTAAATAAAATATAGAATAAACAGTTTCTGAAATTAGAAATACTTTAAAAACTTTATGTGTTTAAAGATTATATATTAGTAGAAGTGAAACTAAATAAGTTTAATAAAATATGTTTTAATTGAAATAAAATGCTGAAATCAGAATTTCAAGAGATTCTGTTTATAATGCAAGAGGAGAATAAACATAAAGAGATATTAATCATCCTTTTTTTTATATTTAATATAGAGAAAAAGAAGTTTGTTTAATAGGAACATTATAATAAATATAAGAAACAAGCACTGCAATTAAAAAATTATTAGAATAAGAAGCTAATAATGAAAAAGAAATGACATACTTTACAGTTTTAATATCTCCATAATATAAAGAATCTTGTAAATAAGTTAAATAAATAATTGAAAGAAGTTCTTCATCTACAAAAGTTCTACTTTTTGAAGCTTCTCATCCTAGAAAGAATATGACTATACTGGTACTATGTTTAAGAAATTAAATTATTTAAACTAAATAAACTTTTTCAGATTTAATTTATTAACAATGTTAATTAAAATTAGATTAGTTTTAAGATTAAATGTCTATGTAAATGTGTAGATATGTATTTAAATATCTTTAAAATACTATGATGACTAATGATATGGCATTTATGAAAAATTGGGATCTTATAACTCCTTATTTTTATTAATTCAATATTATGAAATATAGAGAATCAAAATTTGAAAATTGGTTTGTAAAAAGATGTTATTCTTCACTATTAAGAGATTATGAAACATAATTATATATATAATATTGTTTAGGTAAAGAAATCTAAAAGAATTTAACAGATCATGAGTAATTTTTAAGAAAAAAGAATTTAATTCAATTAACAAAAAAGATTCTTTAGGCTATTTTAGGTTTTAAAAGATATCCTTCTGATTAAATAACATTAGATAGTGGATAATAATAAGATACTATAAAGAGATTTAATAATTAATAAGAAGATGATAATCTAAAATTACCTAATTTATAATTGATAACTTTGAATCCTTAATATACATCTATAAATAAAAAAAGTGATATAAAAAAGGAAATTAGTGAAAGAAGTTAATCTAGTTCAAGTAAATATTAAAAAAAGTAAAGTAATTCTGAATCAGAAAAAAGTAGAGATTTCTCTACTAGATAAAAACATAAATATCATCATCATCATCATCATAAATATTATAATAATAATTAAAAAAGTCCAACTGAAAAATATATTAGACACAAATATGATAAAAATGATTATTATGATAAACAAAAATCAAGACATAGATATTAATATCAAAAATAAGATAAATCTAGAGATATAAATAAAAGATATTATGATGATGATCTATCTAAAAATAGATTCCATAATAAAAAAAGTATTTATATTTTTCTTTATTTTAGGATCAAGTAGTGAAGAATCTGATAAATCACAAGAATAAAGAAGAAAAAGATAGGAATCTGTAGATTCTGATAAATATAAAAATAATAAATATTATAGTGGATTTCAATATCAAAGAAGACATCCTAAAACTAATAAATATGATTATGAAAGTAGATATAAATTACAATAATAGAATCTTCCAAAAATTTTGAAATCAAAGATCGTTCTCGCTATTAAAGTAAAGATCGATCTCGTTCAAAGTAGAGAAATAAATCAGAAAGTAGTGATAGCTATAAAAGAAGATCTACTCATAAATCAAAAAAATACTCTAGGAAATATTGATGAAAAAAATCAATTTTAAATCATGTTATATTATATAATTAATCTTTGTTACCAAGATATTTCACATATAATTAATTATTTATAATTATTATTTATAATTATTCAAATCTTATTTTCATTATCTTATCTACTCTTTAATATTAATTATTTTATAAAATGACTTATTTTTTTTCTATGATTATTTCACATATAAAATATTTATACAATTCTAATGACATATTATAATTTATTAATATAACTTCAATATATATAAAAGAAATGAAATTTCAAATCTATTATTAAATAAAATTATTTGCAATTTCATTCTTTAAAATTAAATCAAAATATTTTAAAGATTAGGAATATTAGATTATAATTTGATTAAACAAAAAAAAGATTAATACTATAACTTATTATATCTTAGATTTATTATTATTAGTAAAAATTCATAAGAAATCTAAAAAAATGATAATATTTTAATTCAATTTTTTGTATTTGTAAATATTAAAAAAATACTGTAATTTATACTTTAAATTATCTTGAATTATTTTTGAGGGGATTAGAACAATAAGATATTTATTAATTAGAATTTGGAAGTTTTTTATTTTTTCTATTGATATTAATAATCATAAGAATAATTAAAATATATAATAAGAGTTTTATGGATTTAGACTTTATTTTTTTTCCAGCACCAAAAGAAATATCTAATGATCATGAACATGGTCAAATATTATGGATTCCAAAATATCCAAAACTCTATCCTACTTTTTAAAATTATGTACCAAGAACAAATAAGAAGAGGGGAATTTTCTTTAAATAAAGTGAAATAGATTTTGATGATGATCATTTTTTAATTGATGAACCTACGTATAAATATATATTGATTAAGAATAGAGAATCTTAATTACAGCCAATACCTAATTTTTAATGGAAACCAATAACCAGTAGATAAAGAAAGAGATAAACTACTGATATTAACTCACCAACATTTGATTCTAATGAGGGTAGTCCAGATGTTCAACAAAAATTACAAAAACTAAATATGTAATCTGTTTAAATCATTGCAAAAAAACCTCAATTGTGTAGAATGTCATCAAATCTTTATCCAATTAAAAAGACAAGAATCAATTAGAGTATTTGCTTCAGTTAACCACTTATCAAATTACCTTAAGAATTAATTGATATGAAATAAAAACAATTAAATGAATCTAATGATGAATAGCCTCCACCAAGATCAAACTCAAGGGAATCCCATTAAATCAATGGTTATATTCCATGTATGTATGTAGACTCAAAAAAACATTCTCCAAATATATTACTCTATTTTCATGCAAATTGTGAAGATATAACATAATCGTATAATTTCTTAGTTCATCTACGTGATAATTTACAAGTACTTTAATATATTATTGTCTTATCTAGGTATCAGCTATAGCTGTTGAATATCCTGGATATGGGAAATATAAAAATGAATAACCTTCAGCTGAGTCTATACTAAATGATGCAGAATATGTGTTTAATTATCTTACAAAAAGATTAGGATATAATGAAAACAGAATTATTATATTTGGTAGAAGTATTGGAAGTGGACCAGCTACTTATTTATCAAATAAATATAAACCTGCATGTTTGGCTTTAATGTCTCCATTTACTTCACTTAAAGCTGCAGTAAGAGATTATATTGGTTCATGGGCATAGTTTCTTATTAGATAAAGATTTGATAATTTAGAATAAATTTAGAAAGTAAAAGTACCTATTTTTATTTTACATGGTATGGCTGACAATATCATACCATATTCATAAGCATAAGAATTATATAGTAAATTAATATTTTTAATTAGAATCATGTAAATCTGAGAAATGTATTCTACATTTGGCAGATGATATGGATCATATCAGTTATAGATTATATAAGGACTTAATTAATCCATTTACAGAATTTTTACTTTAAATTAAATATTATTAGAACTGTTCTTAAGGACCAAAAATGCCCACAGTTCTCTTTTATGATCCTACAATTGAATGAATATGATGATAAACTCCTTTTATGTTTATTATGATATTTTATTAATCATTATATTTAATGGTTTTTAAAATAATATTTATTATTTTTAAATTTATTGAAGGATTTCAAATAAGATGGGTTGTGCCTTAGATAAACAAAAATCTATGATATCAAAAAAGATTCCTATTTCGATATTAAAAAAGAAAGGTGATGAAAAATTTAATCAAACCTTAACCAATTCCTAAGAAATTGAGTAAATTGGAAAAAAAGTTTATGATTGTTAAATTGACAAATATGATATATCTCAAAACCCAATTCTAAGAAGGAGAATTGCATCGACGAGTTAAATTTGATTCTATTAAGTGTATTAGTCCTACTTCTATAAATAATAATTTATATACGTTTTTTCCCTTAATTAACTATCCATACTGTATTATTTTTTAATTACATCGGTCTGTAATATAAATAAAAATGTACTAATAGGTTATATTAAACAAATATAATAATTATAAATCTATTTAAGATATTAAAACCATATTAATATAAATATCTAACAAATTTCTCTAAACATCATTATTATTTTTTTATTTAATTACAATTTATATTACTAGATTAATATAATACAAAATTTAAATGAAATATAAACATTGATTATATTTACATCAAAACTAATATAATGAAGTAAGTTATTCTTTGGCCAATTCATACGCATAAAATCCAATAGCATTAGCGTAAAATGCCCGAAAGACACAAACTGAATATCCTTTCCAAACAGAACCAAAACCTTCAGTAAATATTTTTTGCATTAAACAATCAAAAAATCCTCCATCATAACATCTAACCTTATAAACCCCTGGATTTTTGCCAGTTTAACATTAAAGAATTGTTTTAATTGTCTTGATTTTTATTATTTTATTTTACATCTTAAGGATATCCTATTGTCCAACATGAAACACCTGCTAAACCTCCTGATATCAATAGATTTGCTGTTGAAGGTTCTGCTTTCTATGATAAATCACATAGTATATCTTTAATGAATTCATAAACTGCAAATTAAGCTGAGTAGCCAAGAATTTCTCTTTATTAAGTAGCATGCATTCCTCTAAAAATATATTTAAACCCTTCTTTTTTGTAAATCTATTATTTTTGTATAAGAAATACTTAAAGAACACAATCAAAAGGGTTTTTGTAAATTTTTTCAGTCTCTTACATTTATAATTTACATTTTGTTAATTCAATTGGACATGAGAATATAGCAGCTGAACTTCCTGCTATGGTTCCACAAAATGCACTAAAATTCTTATAACATTAATACGTTTGGAAATATGTAAGTTATTTATTTGAATTTCCAATAAAAAATTTCCTCCAGAATTCATAAACTGAAAATACAACTGCATTAGTTATTGGTATAGAAAGTATTGGAAATGACATTCCTTTATAGAAACCTTTAAATCCTTCATTTTTTATGATTTTTTATAGTGTTGTTAGAACTCCATCTTCTGACATTTACATTCTAACTTTAACTGTGTCTAATGGATGACTTGAAATACAATTTGCTCTAATGATTTTAAAAAAAATGAATATTACATTCCACTTATAGAACCAGCTGCTAAATCAATAGAGATTTAATATCGATTTTCATATGTCCATTGAATAAAATCTGACATTTTAAAAAAAGTATTTATACAATAATCAATTTATGTAATTCATATAATTCATACGTCACAATTTATTCCACTTATTTATCATATTACTTATTTCATTAAAGAGAAACTTATATATTATTATAATTATTATTAAGAATAATTACGTAGTATTTTTATTAAAATAAATATGAATTAAATTAAAATATTTATTGGAAATGACCATGCTGCATTAGAATATAAAAATAATTTATTAGAATATTGTTAAAAAAAAGGATATTAAATAGATGATAAAGGAACATATACAAATTAAAGTTGTGATTATAATGATTATGCAATTAATGTATGCAATGAAGTAATAAAATCTAATGGAATTGGTATATTAATATGTGGAAGTGGAGTTGGAATTTCAATGATGGCAAATAAGGTTAAGGGAATCAGATGTGGATAAGTTAATGATTATGATTCAACATTAAAAGCAATAGAAATTGGATGTAATGTTATTTCATTTGGTGCCAGAACTGTAGGTATTGAAATTGCTAAATAAATTGTTGAAACTTTTATTTCTAATTAAAATAGAATCATAAATCATGAAATTGAGAAAGAAATTTTAATTGTTGAGGAACTTAATTATGGAAAATGAATAAATAAAAATGAAAAAAATATCAAATTCAAAATTATATACCGAATGAATTCATTTCTATGTAATTAATATAAAGAAAGCCATCTTAATCTTTAAATTATTGATATAATTCTTTTAAAGTTTAATCTTTAAAATTATTGTTATTTTAATACCTATTCTCAACAATGTCTTTCCACAATACAAATTAATTGAATCATATTATGAAAGTTTAATTTTACTTTTAATGTATTACAGAACGTTCATAATTGTCATTGTGTTTGGCATTTTGAATCTATTTAAAATATTTAGATTACTTTATAAAATTTTATTTTGGTAATTTACTTTTACTTGATTATTCCACTACTACTAATACATCATTAGGATAGAGTTATTTGCAATTATCAGATTCATTTTTCCTTTCTTCAAAAGATCTAGTATTTTAGAAATTCAATGTTTATTTCATCTAAATAGAAATATAAATAATAATTGTATAATTATTATTATTGAGAATATTTTATTGATAATATTATGGATTTTCATCTTCTTTATAATTTACATTATTCACTTAATATAAGCTAGATTGCATTCAAACAATTTTTCATTTCACCTCTCAATTTTAGGACAAATTCATCTCTAAATTCCTATTAAATATATATATAAGTTAATTATACTTAATTATCTGCTTAAATATTAACTCCTTCTTCTTTTCCAATACGATTTAATTTTTTCTTCATTTATTCAATTAAATTTATTGGAACTACTATCTTTGCTTAAAATGGATTATATTTGCTTTTTCTTTAGTTTGAACTTTTCTATTGATTAGATGTACCTAGTTGATCTAGATTTTTTTTATTTTTTATGTCTTTTGTTTGAATCTGATCTGGATCTCAATCTTCTACTAGATCTGGATGAAGAGGATTTCTATCTAAGAAGAATTAGAATAATGATATAACCTTTTTTATTTAATATCTTGAATCGAAACTGAATTTTTGTATTGTTATGCAAAGTTTTCATTTATGTACTTTCCGCTCTCAAGGATCTTTTTAATTATTTAAATACAGGTCCTCCATTTTTAAAACACTCTATCTATTCCAAAATTAACACTGTAGCCTCTAACTTATGTTCCACAGATCCAATCACTTAAACCAAACAATCTATAATTATATTTATATAATACATTATCCTATATCAGAATCATCTTTATCAGACATAACTTTTATTTATGCACCTTTAGCTTTATTTGCAAGTTCTTTTATTTGGCAACCTTCTTTGAAAAAATCATAAATTATAATAATATACTTGCTCCTATTAATTTAGATGCAAAATTAGCAGGCATAACTACTCTTACATCAAATTCAAGTCTTTTAAATTATGAACTTATTTTTCGAATTATAGATTTAATTGCTTCTTGAACATTTTTCAAAGTTCCAACTAATTATAATATTTCTTCATCTTTTTTTAATTTATTCTAAATATAATTAATTTGAATAATACTTTGATTGGAATTTCATTAATACTTTTAGATTTCATTTTTATTTAATATTTTTTTTCTAAATCTTTATTTTTAAGAATATAATCCACAATTACATCCATAAAAATAAGTTAAACCTTTTTAATAATAAGAAATACCTTAGTAATAAGTTTTCCTGGATCTAATGGTTCAGCTCTCTTTATGTAATCATCTTCTGTAATTCCTCTTTAATGCAATTTATTAGTTATTAATTTTATGGCATTGTATATACAATTTGATTAACCTAAATAATTATAATTATATCCTTACCAGCTATCTTAACTGATCGTAAAGAAAATTTATTTATAGCATTATTTACAACAACATCAGTTTTTGTTTCTAATTGGATATTTTTAATTTGTTTTCCAGATGTACCAATTAAGTATGACACAGTTCCTAATGTTTATAGAATTTATATACCTTCAGGTATAAGCATCATCATTTCAAAAGTAGGATTTTTCTTTTACTCAATTAATGAAAGTATTTTATTGATGGCTTCAAGTTATAAATTTAATTTGCTATCATCAGAATCAACTATTGAAAATGCTGTGCCATCTAAACCAGGAATTTGATTATTTCGATTAAGTTAAATAGACTTAACATCATATTATGACTAAATCATGTTATTTATGGTACTTTCACATCCTCTAATATATTTTTCAATTCATCTTATTCAATGTATTTCCATTCAATAAAAAAATCGATTTAAAATTATTTCATCCTTTTAGACTATTAAGGTGATTATGATCTAGATGATTAGGCTGATAATCCTTATTCGTCTCCTTGATCCTTCGACATATAATATTAATTATTTAATATAATTCAAATATATATATGTTATTTACAAAAAATTATTAGGATTCTATTATAAATATATTAAAATTCCTAATATATATATATATTATAAAACATATTAAATGAGTAGTATCTACTTAATAATATATAAATAGTAATAAATAAAATATTGGACACTTCATAATCATAATCTAAGATCAAAAAATGAAATAATATTAATAATATAGATATGATTATCAAATTATAATTTAGATAATGTTTTTATTAAAATAAAATCAATAAATTATACATAATTATTATATGTTAAGTAAATTTGATATAAAATAAAAGAATTATTAATTCTTAATGCAATATTAAAATGAATCTGAACAAATAAATCGAAAACAACTATTACTAAGAAGAAAAATATATGATATAGGATATAACTTATATTAAATAGTAATTTCATTTATTTAAATATAGGAGGATAAGATATTAATATATGGACATATTAAAACTATCAACCTAAATGATGAACCTTGCAAATAATCAGATTTTGATAATCATATGTAATTTGAAACATAAGAACAATAATTTTCATAAAATAAACAAAATAAATTATAATTGGATTTATATTAGTAGTAGCAAATTATATCTAATTAAATACACAAAGAAATTGTTGCTAAACCAAATATTTATAATGATTAAAATATAAATTCCAAATTTTGTAATCATTTTTATAGTAATCAATAAATAGTCAAATTTATTGTGCTTCTTATATAAACTAAACTTTTCATATTTTTAAATAATACAATGTTTCTTCTATATCATAGACTATTATTAACATTTAATGTCTATTTTGGTTAATTTTTAATTTATTTTTAAATTAATTAATTATATAACATTTTTATTAGTAATAATGGCATAAAGGTATTTGATTCATTAATGATAGTTTATTTATGATATTTCATTATTTCATAGGCAATAATCTAACATAAACACATCTATTCAGAAGCCAAAGAAGCTCCAAAAAAAGATCCAAAAATTTAAATATTAATTAATTAAGTCCATAAGTTATTCAAATATTATTAATCTCAATTTTATTAAATTAACTTACTAATATTTTGATCAAGAATGCAATTGAATAAATGATATTTGCGTTACTGTTTATTTAATCTTCAATTGTTTAACAAATATAATATTGTAATTTCAAGATTGAATCAACAGATTTACTCTATTTTAAATTCATAAATATTTCAAAAACAAATTATAATAATTAAGTTTCTGTTTAAGTTATATTCTAAAGTAATACTTATGAATCAAGGTACTTATTTTATAAGTATATTTATGTAATAATTATAAATATTAACTCCAAATCTTTTGATTGTTTTAAAATAATATTTTATTATCGTATTTTTATTAAATTTAATATTGTATTCTAAACAAAGTCTGTAAGAATATAATATACTAGCAATCTACTTGAATTATGTTAAACATTCAATTCAAGAAAGGCAAACAAAATCATACTAATCCAAATTATATTGAATTATGATCATTCTAATCATTTAATCTAATTAAACTAAATTTCGTTTATGTAATCTTAATATTTCTCAAATCTCCGATAATTATATAAACAAGATATTGTAAATTTAAATGGTAATACAAAACTACTTTATTTGTCATTAAATAAAACTTATTAATTCAATTAAATATATCAATGTATTCAAAGTCTAGTTGAAATAGAATATGTTTTAACTTAAAATTTTCAGTTTAAAAAGTAGAAAATCTCTTCCCATCATAACATATATTATGTTATCTTTGTAATCAGTTATCCAAATCACTACAAAAATTTGATGTTGAAAAATTTGGTTGTTTTTCAAAAGATTCATAAGCTTCTTCAAGTTTAACTTAAATATATTTATTTAAAATTGAAACCATAAAAAAGTCAAAATAAAAATATTATTTTTTAGTAGTAATAATATGATTCTGGATATGAATTATAAAAATATTTATTTAATAATATTTAACTTGCAAATATATATATGCCAGAGTTGTTTATTCCTGTTTATTTTGGCTCATTTGACTTAAAAAATCATTTTATTACAAAATGGGCTGATGATTTAGAAAAAAAAAGGGTTGCCACAGGTTCAATTAATGGAGACATAATCATTTGGGAATTCGACAACTTTAATTTAAAACCACTTATAAAGTCTACTCCACATTTGATATATAGGGTAGGAGGAGTAACAGCTTTATAAATAATGAGAAGACCATTTGCAGAATTTTAAGATAGCAATATGAATTGTGTAATAGCAATTCATTAAGATAAAAGAATAAGAATATTTAGTATGTTAGATGGCAAATAAATATTGATTTCAGATCATGATTAATTTCCATATTCAAAATAAATCACACAAATTTATCCAGTTGGTGATAGAACAAGTAGATATATTACTTGTTTTGGAGAAGGAACAGCTATTTATATATATGATTTATGGAAAATGTGTTGTAGTAAAATATTTTAGATTTAAGATGAATTTGATTAGCCTAGATTTTCTATATTTACATCTATTGGAACGGAATTTGCTATTATTGGTATAATTTGATGATATTCAAGATAGCAAATGTAGAGTCTATTAAATTAATACATCAGCATATCAAAAAGCTGAAAAATAAAATTATTTTAAGTATATTGAAAAGAAAGCATAAGAGAAAAAGAAAAATGGATAAAAAAAGTCTATAATAAGATTAACTTCCAATTTTTATTTAAAAGGATTACCTTAAAACAAAATAATCAATACTGTTTATAACACAAAATCATAGATCATGTATATAGTTTATTCAAAATAAATTTATGTTGTGAATTGTCCTTTTAAAGAGAGTGAGTAATATAAAGAAATGTTTTCAATTAAATCTTCTACAAATTTAATTAAATTTAGAAATATTCATTTATTTAATAGCTAAAATAAAACTATAATAATAATTGAATAATTAAATGGTGATACTAGTTTCATTTATGAAAAAGATATTTAAGATATTATATGTTTAATATCTAAAAGTTATAATTAATGTATAACATTTGATTTTAATGGTTTTAGTTTTTCAAAATAAAGTTAATCTTCTTAAGGATAACTATTACTATTACTTAATTAATAAATGACACCTATTTAAGTTTCAAAATATTTTTTTTAATAGATGATATTCACAATTAATAATTTATTATTTAGATAAAATGGATGCATTATTGAAATTTATAAACCAGATAATATCTATTATGATGATTTTCGTATTTGCAACCTTTAATAGAATAATTAGTTTGATGTAAAATTACTTTCTGAAGGTTTTATACTCTACCTTTATTCTTAATCTAAATTTATTAATGAATCAAAATAATAAGAAATAACAGATTTACCAAAAAATATTGTAGATCTTTAAATTTTTGAATAAAATGATATTCTAAAATCTTTAAATTTAAATTTACCAGAACATATATAAGATTAATTTAATTAGATTAAAAACATATCTAAATATACTATTGGTTTATATAATAAGACTGATCTTTTTGCTATTTTTGGAACAGATTAAGGAAATATATTCTTGATTCCATTTTTTTATGAAAAGAATAAAAGATGGAATATTTATATTAATAATGAATTAAAATAAAGTATAATTTCATTAAAATTTATTAAAAATTCTATTTTTGCTGTTGATCAAACATTAAAATTATTAGTTTTTAGTTTAAAAAGCATATTTGGTAGATTTGATAATTAATCAGTTGAATTTGTTTCAACTTATTAAACAGTTTTACCATCAAATATAAAGTAAGTAATATAAATTAGATAATTATTCTAAGAATCTAACAATAGTACATTCACAAATAATGATGCACTAATTGTCAAAAGAAAGTTAGCCAAACATTTTTTGGCTTTATTACTGGAGGATGACTCTATTTTAATATATCATACTATATTAAATATTAAGAAGTTCTCTTTTCATAATTAATTTAAATTAAATTAAGGATAAGTAAAATTATATTATGTACCACACTTATTGATATTTTTATATTCAAAAGGTGTTGAAGTTTCTGTTTGGTCAATGGAAAATGGAAAATTTGAAAGAATGATTAATATTCAATAATTATAAGAATATTTCAATATTGATACATTATTAACATAGAAATTGTAATAAATGATTAATTCATATGATTTCAAATCATTCAAAACTGATTAGGTTTCATAATTTGATCTTTTAGAATACTCAAATAGAAGTTATTAGATTTAATACAATTATTCCTAAGAATTAAAACAATAATCTCAATAATATTTTTATGATTTTTTAGGAATTTTAAGTAAAATATAATAAAATACTTTTGAATTTGATGAAATTTTGCATATACTATCATATGAATATCCAGCAATAAGTTATAGAGATAAATCAATAACTATATTTGAGTCTTAAGATATGGGAGATATGTTCTTATTGTATAAGATTTATTTAAATTAATTCAAATCTAAATTATAATTTGATAGAGTAAATAAATTTTATAAATAATAAAAAGAACAAAGAAGATTAGATTCAAGTTCTTCATATTATTTATTATGGTTTGATTGTAAAAAGAATATTGAAATAATAAAAGATTCAATGGAAAATACAGCTTCTATGAAAATACCCTTTACTTATGTTCACTTTTATCATTCTTTGAATCTAATACCTATATTTAAGTGTTAATTTGGTTTGTAAGGAATGGCAGAAGGATTTTCAAGATTAATTGAACCAAACAATTATTAAATAAGTGGATTAATGTCTACTTAATATAGTATAGCAGCAGCATTATGTTTAAAATAAATAAAAAGTAGATTTTCAATCTAAGAAATTAACAATTAAACAAGTTTATTAAGTCTATCTAGATATAGTCTTGATAACTCAAAGGATATTGTTGAGATTTCTTGTTAATTGATAACTTAATAAATAAAGAAAATGGATAGTTTTTGTAATGATATTATGGTATTATAAAGTACTTCTAAAGTATTTTTGTAATAATTTGAAAAGAATAATTCAAATATGTATTTTTCTTTAGAGATTATGTGTCTAATAATCCAAACATATTTAATGTAATAAATGATGAGTAATATTGAAATGATTAATTATGTATTTAATAGAATAATGTCAGGTTTCACTCACTAATTATCTTTAAACAAACCTAATATTGTGTTTGTATTTATTAAATTATTAGAAGATGGAATGAATAACTTTCATAAATGCATCTAATAACCTAAAATATGTCTATAGACTTTTATTTCAATTTATTATTACATTTATACTATTTATAAATATGGATTTTAATTAAAAGAGATAATTCATTCCCCTCTTAATAAGAAATCAAAAGAGAAGGATAAATATGAAAATTTGAGATAGTATTAATAAATGAGTCGAATAGATTTATAGAGAATAAAACAAAGATTAAGAATATTAATTATTACTTTATCTGAATATTTTTTTGAAGAATTTAAGGTGACTATCAAAGAAATGATTAATTAAACAGACAATTATCCAATTATAGCATGTTCAATTCTTGATTTATTTCATTGTCTATCCAAAACAAATATTATACTTATAGATATATAATTCATCTTAGATTTATCAATAAAGTATTAAATATATTAATAAAATTAGAACCATAGATTAGAATAATTAATAATTAAGAAAGTATACATATAAAAATTATGTTAAACTAGTATAATATTTAGATTAGAAGTTTGAATTTATAAGTTACTCCTAACAAATATTAAAATTAGCTTTTGCATCTGATGGTTTAGTTTAAATTTATGATTTAAGATATGGTGTAAAGTTATAACCATTAGATAGATATCAATGTAATTATTGAATAGATAAATTAGCATAAATAACAAGTATAGATTTTGATAGTAAGGGAAATTAATTAGCTTCATTTTCTTTGAAGGATTAAAATTTAAAGATCTTTAAATTAAAACCAACTAGTTCATTTATATCAGGATATGAAAATATATACATTAAATTAACTCATTAATTTAACTTTTTATATCCACTTTATTATAAATTAGAATGGGATAAGGACTGCAAATATATTTATTTATAAAATTAAGATGAATCAAAAGTAATTAAAATTGATTGAATTAAATATATATAAAAATTATTAAATTAATAATTGATACGTCATTGCTATATATAATTTTAATGATAAATTTTTTAATTTTTTAATAGAAATAATTTTAATTTCATTTTATTATAAAATTTTAATAGGTATAAAAAGATTATTTCTGATATGAAATTATTCTATTCATAATTTATTTACTTAAAATTCTTTATTGAAAAAACATAATCTTAATATAATATTGTTTTTATTATTTTAAATTCAAATCTATACATATATTTTTCCTTAAATTACCAAATTTATTCGATTTTTGAACTAATACTCGTTGAAACTCTTCAATATTTCTTAATAAGAAATCATCAAATAATTTAAATTCATGAATAATTTAAAAAACATTAAAAAATATTCCATTTATGATGATATTGAAAAATAAATAATTAACTTATAAATACTCACTTATATTAGGATTCTCCTTTATAAATAAATTTTATTAAGAAATAACAACAAGATGGAAATACTTTGTTGCTTATGTGAGTGTTTTTTTGGAGATGATGATAAAAGAGGTCTTTTAGGAATTATTTGTTGCTGTGTTTGTTGTTATCAAGGATATAAAGAAAACATAGCTGGGAATAGAAAAAGAACTTTTAGATACTTTAATGCAGTTCTTCTCTTAATATTATCAATAGTTGCTGTGGTCTTAACATCAATTATATAAAGCAAAGCCTCTTTATCAAATTAATAAATAACAAAAATATTAGAAAATTGGTAGCTTGGTGTTTTAATAGATATTAAAATATTAGATTCCTGTCCATCAAATTATGAATTGCTTACTTTTTATAAAATACCAGGAACATAAGATGGATGTATTTGTTTAGGAGATAAAGAAATAGACACATATGATTGTTCAGATTGGTAATTATTAAAGGGATGTTATAATTAAGAAGCTAAAAGTCCAATTGAATTTTTTAATTGGGCATAACCATCCAATAATTCTTTTAAAAGTGTGTAAATTTGTGCAATGAGATCTTAAATAAATTTTTATGACTTACTATAAAATAAAATAACAACAGAGGAAGATTGTAAAGCAAATGGTTACAAAGTATGTTAAACTTAAAGTTCAGAAAATTTTTAATGTGTTCTTTAAGAAGAACCTTGTCCAATAAGAGATATAATGATTACTTAATATCAACTTTCTGAATACGATTTGCAATTAAATAATTATAGTTTAATTTATGATAATGGATTTTATGTATACACTAGCCAGTCTAAAGAAACTACTCCTTTATTGAAAATGGCTATTGTTAAAGGTAAGGGTGTATGTTTCGATGAAGAGTTATTGAGTTTAAATCCTAAATTAACTGAAGATTATCTCCTTTTTTCTCCATAACCAGAAGATTGTCTTATAGATAATAGTTACTACTAAATATCAAAAACAAATGAAAGAGAACTTTTAACTCTTAACAATATTTTAGCTCTAGTTCAATCAGAAAGACCTTTATATAATGTTAGCAACAAAATTGAATATTAACTGCTTGCTTAGAATTAGATATATTTTAAATAAAAATGTAGAATTGATAAGTAAAAATTACTTTAATTAATAGTTTTCAATAGCTAATTGATCTAGGCTCAAAGTTTGATACTTAAGGTACATTGATTACCTGTTAATTAGTATTTGCATGCTTTTTATTTTGTGTGATTTTTGTAATAATATTAAATGAATTACATCGTTGCTTTTATAAAGATTGTGGTAAAGGTTGCTAAACATTAATAATAATTATTAAAGAAATATCAACTTATTTACTTGCTATAACTGTCATTGTTAGTTATTCCTTTATGATTGATTTGGTTTTATAGTTAGAGGAATTTAATTCAAAAAATTGTTTACCAGATAATGGATAAGAGAGAATGAATTTAGTATATAAAAGCTTGTCTGATGCTTCTTTATCACTTTCTTATAGTCTAATAATAAATATTGGTATTATGATAATAGTAGACTTTGCTATGACAACCTTTTTATGTTTTAAAATATATAAATCAAAATTTGGTTCATTTAGAAACCCAATACATTTTAATAATAATTATTAAAATGATAACAATTATTAAAATTAAAACCCTTACTAAGATCCTTATTTGAAATAATAATATTAATAAAACCCTGCTCCATAATATTATGAATAGGAAGTAAATCATAATCAAATTTCTTAATAATATTATATATAAAATCAAGTTCAAGATATTCCATAAATAATATAAGAACAAAAAGTTGAAGATAATAATAAAGATTCTTAGAATGAAGTGAGAGTAATTTAGGATAAAGAGAAAAATTGAATTTTGTAAAATCTATAAAAAATTAAAAATAATAATATTTTTATTAAATTAGAGTTCTCATAATAATGATGTATTTATTCTCTTTTAATTCTAAATAGTTTTAAGTTGTAACTTCAACACTTTTAAAAAATCTATACTCTTTTAACATAAGTAGATTTATTTTTCATTATAATTTTAACATTATTAGTTAAATTTTCTGCTTTTAAAGAGCAATTTATTAGTTTTATATTAATCCATTTTCATTATTATTCTAAAATAAAATTTTATAAATATTCACTTTTTATAATTCTATAATACAATAAAGATTTAAAATTATATAATTTATAATTCCATTGTATTAAAATAAATGTTGAATTATGATAAATAAATAAGATAAATGATCAACACCTTAATTTCACTATTAAATTTTATCTATAATTTATTTGTTTAATTATGAAAAACTAAAAAAATTACTCACTTTTAATTAGAATCATATATTAATAGTTAAAATTATATAATAATATTTTTTTACTGTTAAATTCACCATATGGATCTCTCTTAATACAATCTAGTAAAATGATAATGAATATTTATAGATTGATGAAAATTCAGATTATATTATTCTTCAACATAATTCAAACAGCTTATTATATGTTTATAAAGAATATGAAATACCAAAATTTATTGGGAAAAAACAAATACTTCCTAACTCATAATTAATAGAGATTTTAGAAAACAGAAGATAATTAGATTCTTCAAATTTAATATAACTTACTGATTATGTTATAACATCAAGATTATGCTTATTATATGAATAATATATCAAAAATTTTGAAGAAGAATTATCTAAGCGTAGAAATACAAATTAATATTGGTCTGAAGAAGAACTTTATAATACATTTTAAGCATGTCTTTCATCTATGAAATCATTTCATGATGTAAATATATAATTTTTAGAATAGTTTGGATTATCTCATACTTGTATAAGTCCAAATTCAATAGTTTTTAGTTAGGATTCTCAAGTAATATTAGCTGATCATTTTGTTGTAACACAATAATTTAAAAGAAACTATTCTCATATTCCAAATAATGAGGAATATGGTTATTGGTCACCTGAAATAATTAATGAATTTTAAGGATGGAATTAGAAATATGAAACAATTGAAGCAGATATTTGGGCATTAGGAATTGTATTTTTAGAAGCTATGACTTTAAAGTCTGGTTACGATTTTTATTTTATAGATGATAAAAATAAATTATATATTGACTATCAATTAATCTAAGATAATTTTGAGGTAGTCAAAGAATTTTATTCTTAAGAATTAATCACTTTAGTGTAAATCATGTTAACTATAGATCCATAATAAAGGACTTGGGAAAATATAATTGAATAAAATATAAGAATATAAGATATGTAATAATAGTAGATGCATCCTCAAATACAACCAATACCTGAAGAAAGTGAGGAAGAGAGTATAGTTTAAGAGAATATAGGTTGTGATAAAAATAAATTATTAAATATGTTGGAGAGTTGTTTAATTAAATCCAAATAATTAATTAAAGAGAATGAATCTAGAAAATCTAAAAGAAATAGTTAAGAGAAGATAATTAGTAGTTAATCTACTCCTCCAAAAGAAAAGGAGGATGTTCATTCAAGTTTATTAATGTTATTGAAAGGAAAATATTCAAGGAAAAATTCTATTGATTCCAGTGGATAAATTCTTAAGGAAATTCCTTAAAATAAATAAAAGTAAAGACGAAAGTCTTGTTAAGATATTTTTGAAAAAATAGTTTTACATAATCCAATTGTATAGAATGAAAATATTATGGATCCTAATGATTTATCTAATTTGATGTAAATCTATAAGACATATAGAGGTGAAGGAAAAAATAAAATGATGCATGGTAAAGGACATTTAGTATTTTAAAATGGTGCTGTTTTATAAGGGTAAATATAATTTAATTTTAATTTAATAGATGTTTTAAAGATGGGAAAATAAATGGATATGGAATATTACTTATAAATGGCTAATTAATGGTTGGACATTGGGAGAATAATATTTTAAATTAAATTATGTGAAATATCTTATATATATATATAAATAAATTTACTAATTTTTGATAATTTAATGAGAATTCGTAATTTTTACTTCTTAACCACTGAAATGAGTTTACTTAAATTTATTAATTATTTTTATTTATGCTCCCTACAATTAAAAGTGCTGTAGAGACACAACCAATTCTATTTGAAAATGAACAAAAATAGCTATCACAATAATGTTTAGAATAAAAAATGAATATTATATTGATGGCTACAGAGATTGAGAGATTACATAAAATATTATTGTCAAAGAAAGATTATTATGAAAAAAAGATGTAAGATTTGATTGATAGAGGTATTATATATTAATATTAATTAGAAATCCAAGACAAAGAATAAATTGCCAAATAAGCATAAACTATTACTGAATTAAATCAATAAATTCTATAGAAGAATGCCCTTATTACTTAAATTTTACAAGAAAAGTAATTTATACAGTTCATTACTTAGGTCTTAATAAGAAATGAACCTATTAATAAGTTAATAATTGTTTGTAATCAATGAACAATACAAAAATGCTGAAATTTACATTCAAGAATTATAAAAGGAGAATTAGATGTTAAAATAATAATTTGAAGATGCTCCATCATTGAGATAAAAATTATACAATTTAGAATAATGGTATGCTAAGTTAATTCATGAAAAAAATGAAGAAATCTAATTATTAAAAATGCAATAACCACATATAATATAACATGCTCCTCAATTAAACATAATTAATTAACTATTAGAATAAAAAGAAAGAGAATTATTATAATGGTAATATAGTTCATAATAAGTTAATGTATATCATGAGAATTAAAGATTAACTTAAGAGCTTAAATTTTTAAATGAGAAATTGAATATGTTATTGTTTGATAATGAACATTTAAAAAAGAGATTAGCAGACATTTAATCTTAACCATCAAACTAAACAACATAGCCATAATATGCAAATCTTAAAGGAGACTCTTAATGTACAGCTCCTATATATCATGATTTATAAAGTACTAAAACACCTAGAAGATATTAATAATCAATAATTCCTAGTGACTTAACTAATACATCATTATTAAGTTATAGAATATTAAGAAGACCTTAATCAGTTGGATCAGGAAGTTCAATACATTTACAGATTCCATAAATTGCATATCCTTAATTCTAATTCACTCCAAGATATTCTAGAAAATCAGTGTAGAATCCTTCTACTTAATTTAATGAATTATTACTATAAATTTAATGTATTTAGAATCAACCTTTACTTACAATTTAGAATATTGAAACTTAAATTTAATTGTTGAATACATTAATATAAATTAAAAGATAAGAATTACATATTTAAATAACTCCACCTAAACAAATTTATAATATATTAAAAACATAAGGTGATGATAGAATTTAAACCTAAACATATTCACCTCCTTAATAAATTATTATGAAATAACCAATCAATAATTTATAATAAAAAATTCAACCAAATTAATCAGTTAGAGTATTACATCAAAATTAATTATAAATTCCAAACAACATTATTAAATTCCGATCCTTATCTGCTGAAACTAAAAGAGAGCTATCTCCAAATATCATTCAATATTAATAATAATAACTAATTCCATAAACTTCATAATTCTAATAAGTTCATCAAATCTAATATAAATGTTCTCCAATTCAAAGAATTATTACATAAACAAACTTATAAAATACAATCCCAAGATAAATTTAACGAAGTGTTTCACCTTAACCTGTATAATTTTTACAATATTAACAGTATTATATAATATTTTAAATTAATTAGACTATCACCATAAGCACCTCAAACAGTCAGACATTAAAATGTAAATCAATTCCATACATATACACATCCACTTCCATAATAATATTACATTCAATAATAATAACCAGTAAATTACATTTAATTTTCATAATAATCTTAATAATAATTCTTCCCTACACAATTTGGAATTCATTCATAAAACCCAAGTGATTAAAATAAATCTCCAATCAATATTTTAGCTTATCCTTATGAATACTCTCCATAAGCTCCAGAAGATTTAAATAAAACCAAATAACAATAATAACCAATAACATAAAATCAAAATACATTATTCATGACTCCAGAAAGTGTCAGAAAACCAATTATATCAAGTAGCAATTCATCCTAACCCTATTCATAAGCAAAAAACCCTATAAAGAGAGAAGAATAAGAACCTTTAAATAAATAAAAATAAAGGGAACCTAAACATTAAAGCAATAAATCTCTTCCTGCTTAAACAATATAATAATCACCTATAGATAGTTCTCAAGTTGAACCATTTGAATTATGTAATGCACCACAAGAACCTGATGTATAATAAAAAGAACATTCTACACCTGAATAAACTTAAAAACCTTAGAATCCTACAGAATAAACTAAACCAAAGTTAGAATAGACAATTTAATAACCTAAACAAGATGAACAATTAAAAAATAAGTAAAATCCTAAAGAACAAATGAAAAATCCACAAAATCCTGAAAATTTATACAAACAACCATAAAAACCTTAAAATATAACATAAAATCCTATTGTTGTTAATAAAATAAATTCAAACGCTTAATTACAAAGCAAATAACCTAAAAATTTAGAAAATCTAAAACAATTTATATAATAACCTGAAGGTTTAAGAAGAAGTCAACCAGCAAGTGTTAGAAATAGTTAAGATATAAAATAAATTTCTCTAATTTAGGATGCTGAAGAATAAAGAAAATAAAAACAAGAATTAGATAGATTATAGAATCTTTTAGATTAAGCTAAATAAGATAATGAAAAACTTAAAGAACTTTATTAATAAAATGATTTGAATTGGTAAAAATAATTTTAATAGAAATATACAGCTGCATTATAACAGTTGCAACTTTTCGAAAATAAGTTATCTATATAAAATAAAGAATATAATTAGAATCTTGAGAAATAATAAAAGAATTTCAATTTATTATAATAAAAGTTTAATGAACAAAAGATAGTAATAGATAAATAAAGAGATGAAATTAATCAATTAAAGTAAAATGAAGATGAAAAACGTAAAAAGATAACCACAAATGATGAATAAAAGGATGAACTTTAGAAATAATTAATTGATTTGTAGAAATAAAATGCTGATTTATTAAACAAATTAAAAACTTAAAAAGATAATTAAATGTAAAATATAAGTAAAATTTCATAATAAAATGAAAATTTATCTAATAATGAAAAATAATTACAATAATAAACATAAAAATATTCTGAACTAAATTAAGAGTATAATTAACTTAAATAAAAGTATGAATAATTGTAAAAAGAATCTACTTAATCAAAATCATCACAATCTAAGGAGATTAATTAATATTAATAAAAAATCACTTAACTTTAATAATAAATGAATGAAAATACTAAATAATTAAAGGATAAAGTGAATTAGCTTTAATCTTAATTATTATTAGAATAAGAATAACATTTAGTACTTAAAAAATAATAAGAAAACTTTTAGAAAGAATATGGTATACAAAAAACTTAAAATGGTGAAATTTAAAATCAAACTAATACTTTAAGATAGTAATTGATTGAAAAAGAATAACAATTAAAAGAAGTTTAAACAATTCTTAATACTAAAATTTAAGTTATACAATAATTAGAACATTAAGTAAAAGATGTATAAGCATAAAATATATCTACATCAAAATAAATGTAATCATTAAATCAAATTTAAGTTGATAATTTAAAAAAGTAATTGTAATAAGATTAATTAAGAATTAATGAATTAAATGACTAAATTTCTAATCTTTAATAAAAGATTTTTACATTAGAATAATAATTGTAATTAGAAAAATAAACTAATATAAAAATATCTAAAGAAATTTAGAATAATAAAATAATAATATAAAATGATTTTTAACAATAAACTTAATAATTAGAAAAGGATAATTTAGAATTATAATCAAAAATAAAGGAATTAGAGTTAATGCTTTAGAAAGAAAGAGAAAATAATACTTAAATCTAACAATAATTCATAACAATAGAAAATAATTATTAAATGAATTCTATGAAATCTATATAAGAAAATGAAAAGTTAGTTAACAATCTCAAATTTTAGATTGAATAATTAAAGTTATAAAATGAAGATCTCTCTAGTTAAATTATAACAGTGAAATCTAATTATGAAATATAAATGTCTACTATGAATACAATGGCATCTTAGAATGTTATAAATTTAGAAAAATAATTACACTTAGAAAAAGAATAAAAAGAAAATTCTTCAATGAGAATTCTATTACTAGAAAAACAAGTTGCTGATTTCTAAAATATTATTAAATAAGATTAAACTGAAGAATTAAAAAATAAATTAATTCAATTAGAAAATTAAAATATGAAATTATAAAAAGAAAAAGATTTTATATTATAAAGTAAATAAAGAGGAGATGAAGAAATTAAAATATTAAATGTAAGAATAAGTGAATTATCTAATTAAAATAATCAATATGAATTAGAAATAATGAATCTTAGATCTAAGTAGAATAATTAAACTGAAACAATTTCCAAAATTACTACTTTAAATTAATAAACTTTAATTTTGCAATAAGAAAAGCAATCTTAAAATAATGAAATCACATAGATGAGATAAATAATGGAAAAGAATAACTATGATCATGAATAATAATTACTTGAATTGAGGGAAAGTTTTAATAGAGATCTTGAGAATTCGAAAATTTTAAATAGAAAATTATAAGATGATCTAATTAATGCTTAAAATTTATTATAATCTGAAAGAAGAGAAAAGGAATTACTTAAATAAAATTAAACTCATGCTGATTAAATTATTGAATAACTAAATCATGAAAAATAAATGCTTCATGATTAGATTATAAAATTAAATCAATAAATATAATAATTATAATTGGAAATAAATAAATTAGGATTAAATTAAATAAACAACAAAGATGAACAAAATTAATATTAATTGTAAATTATTTAATATAATTCTCAAATTGATAATTTAAATATCAATATTCAAAAATTAAATAAAGAAATTGATAGATTAAATTTATAAATAAAATAAATGAATGTATAATAAGGAGATTTAGAATGTTAAAATTTAAATTTAAAGTAATAATTATCATTATTAACATCATAAAATCAAGCTATTCATTAATAAAATGAAATTAATGTTATCGAATTAAAATCAGTAGCTAATAATTCTGAAGATTAAATTTAAGATTTAACCCTAAAATTAGAATAATAAATTAAAGAAACAGAAAAATATTAGAAAGCTGCTTTCAATAATGATCAATTAGTTTAATCACTTTAAAAGAAATTATCTGAAGAAAACTTATAAAATTAAAAGATTAAGCAACAATATGAAATTCAAATTGAAGAATTAGTTAGGAAAATTAATGAAAAGGATAAAGTAGATTAATAAACACCTCCAAAAGCCTAAATATTCCCATAAATATAAAATACTCATTTAATTTAAGAAAATGAAGAGTTAATGTTAAAGATTGATCAATATGAATAAATGATAAAGTCTTTATAAGAAGAATATTATAAGTAATAAGGAGAGCTATAAAGACTCAGCAAAGAATATCATAATGTTATTAATTAATCTGAAGAAACAGTAATAACTATTACTTAATACTAATAATCATAAGATAACATTAAAAGAAAAGAAGATCAAATTAAATAATTATAATAACAAGTATAAGATTTATAGAAGAAATTCGAATCTGAAAGAAATAGATATTAGGATGAAATTAATAGATTAATTATTAAGAATTAAGAATTATCAAACTAAATGTAAAATAATCTTAATAAATAAATAATTGAAGAGAATTTCAATTTAAAAAATTAAATATAATTATTATAATAAGAATTAAAGAATACTCCAATCAAAGAGACAATTATTTATTAATCTGTCTCTCCATCAAATAAAAATTAAGAAGATATTACAAAATATATATAATAAGCTAATTAATTATAATTAAGAATGAATTAAATGGCAAGTGATTATAGTTTATTAGAGTAATAAACTGAATTAGAAAAGAATTAATTAGAAAAATAAATTAAATCATTATAAGATAATGAATAAAAATTATAAAATGAAAATAATTAATAATAACGACATATTGAAGCATTATAGAGATAAATGCAAAAATTATAAATCAATCATCCAAATGATAATAGTTAAGAATTAGAATTTGAATTGAAAAAATTAAAATCATAATTTGAGATTACTTAGTTATAATATAAGTAAATTTAAGAGGAATTAAATTAAGCTAAATCTCAAGCTTTCTAGTATAGAGATGAGTTAGTAGATGAATAAAATAAGAAAAACGAATTGAATCTTAGAATTCTACATTATGAATAAATCTTAAATGATCTTAAATAATCAAATAATCCTGAATCTACAATGATAAAAGAAACAACAATTATTAAAGAATAAGTTTAAGACCCATCATTAATAAAATAAATTAATTTATTAACTGATGATAACAATTCACTTAGAAAATAATTATAAAATTTAGAGGCAGAATACATTTAAAAGTTTAGATTATAATAATTATAGATTTAAGAATTAAATAATAAATTAAAGGAATAAATTGAAGAGAGTTATCAAAAAACTACTATAACTGAAGAAACATCATTTAATACTGTCTCAAATGATCAATCTGCTGAAATTAGAAAGTTAAAGGATGAAAAATTATTTTTATAATAAGAATTGTAAAAACAATAATTATAATACAAAAAATAAATTGAATAAATAACAAATGATTATGAATTTAGAATAGAATAATATAAATTAACTATCTAGTAATTAAAAGAATCCAAAGAGATTCAAACAAATAATGATTAAAATCTCTTAAAAGAAAACTAAATGTTAGCTGATTAAGTCAAACATCTATAAAATGAACTTACTATGTCAAGAGCATTATTTTAGGATTCATTGTAATAAAATAATTAAAATTCAACAGAAGCAAATAAAGTCAATTAATTATAAAAAAGAAATGAAGAATTAGATTAATAAATTGATTAATAAAATAAAATAATTGCTTAATTATAATCGAAATTGTAAAATATTTAGATAATTTATGAGGAAAAAGAAAAGGAGTTATAAAATCTAAAAGTTAATAATCAAAATTTAAATAATTAATTAAATAAAGTACCTAAATTAGTTGAACCTGAAAATCAAACTAAAAATGATAATGAATATTTGATTAATCTTTAATAATAAATTAATAACTTAAATTCATAAGTTAATTAATAAAGAGAAGAAAAAGATAATATGAATAAAATTATTGAAGATAAGGAAAAAGAAAATAAAGATTCAACAGTAATGATATAGAATTTGAAACATTAAATTTCTTAATTAAATTTACAAAACACTGAATTAATATAGAAATTAAAAGATTAAGAGTAAATTTAAGTTTAACTAAAAGAAAATTATACTATATCATCTTCTTAAGATTAAGGAAAACTAGAATAATAATTAATTAATAAATAGTATGAAATAGAATAAATAAGTGTTGAAAATAAGAAATTGAATAATAAACTTATTGATAACTAAAATTTAATTAGAAAATTACAATAAGAATTAATGGCGTATGGAAATGATAAATAAAAATTATAATTTTAACATCAATCAGATATTTCTACCCTTTAAAACTAAATTAAGAATATGCAATAATAACTCTTAGATCAATAAGAAATAAAAAGATCATCAGAATCAATTCCTTAGAAAATTGAAATTAATTAAACCAATTAGACTTTGAATTCTCCAAAAACTAAAAATATAAGTAAAAGTCTAAATAAATCTAATATTTCTTTCCATTCAACTGATGATATAAAAGGTAAATATTATAATTGTTCACTATATACTTCAAATCAGAATGGATAAAATTATTACACTTCTCTAAGAGCTGTAAAATCAAAAGGTGATTTATTGGCTTCTCATGATAATAGTCAATCAAATACACAAGAAGAGTTAAAGAAATAAGTTAGTCTTTGGCAATCAAAATATGAAGAATTGCTAAGAGAAAAATACTCAAAAACATATATGATTAGTTCTAAATCAAATAAATAAATGGAGGAACCAAATGTTTAAATTGAAAGTGTAAATTGGAAATCCAAATATGAGTAGTTGTAAGAATAAATTTAAAATTCAAATACAAAATAAAATTAAAATGAAAAAATAATTGAATAATTAAGAATTAATAATGAAATGCTTAATTCTTAGTTATATCAAATTTAAACTGATTATCAATAACTAAAAACAGAAATTTCAATTAGTTAAAAAAATGATTTTAATTAAAATAATTAGAATTCATAAAGAATTATTGATTAATAAAATTTAAAGATTAAAAATTAAGAAACAGAAATTGATTAATTAAGATAAAAACTAAAATAATAGGTTGAGAGTAAGAATAATTAAGAAAAGAAATCTAGTAATTAATAAAATGAGTATTTAAAGCAATTGGAAACTGAAAATTTTGATTATTAATAAGAAATATAATCTTTAAGAATTGAAATTAAAAGATAATAAGAAAAAAATAACCTAATAAATTAACAACTAAATGATCAAGACATAAATTTAAAATCTGGACAAGAAAATAATGAAATAAATTTAGAAGAATATTAATAATAGATTGAATTATTACAAAATGAGATCAATATCTAATAGAATTAAATATATTCATTATAAAATTAATTAAAATAATCGAAAATTAGAGAATTAGAGTTAGAATAAAAATTAAAATATACACTTGAGGATTTAGAATATGTTTAACAACAAAAATTATAATAATAATAGTAATAATCATAATAATAATAATAATAATAGTAATAATAATAATAATAATAGTAATAATAATAATAATAATAATAATAATAATAATAATAATAATAATAATAATAATAATCTAAAATAGTTCAAACTCAAATATAATAAAACAATTAATATGATGATTAATATCAAAAGATTTTATATGAACTCAGCTTGATAAAATCATAAAACTCTTCTTTGTAAGCTTAATTATAAGAATCAACCAAAACTTAAATTAAATTAATGTAAGAGATAAAAGAATTATAAATTTAAAATGAAAGATTAAATTTAAGTAATGTTAGACTACATAATGAACAATCAAAAGTAACAGATCAGAGTAGTTAGGTAAATAGATTAAATGACTTGTATAAAGAGGTATAAATCGAAAACTAGAAATTGAGAAGTGAGATTTCATACCTACAATAAGAAAAGTAATAAATTATAATTTCATTTGAATCAAAATTATAATAATATTCATCAAGTGCTAATAGCAAAATTAGATAATAATAAATTGAGGATTTGAAACGAGAATTAGCTTAATTAAAGAGAGCTACATTAAAGTCTTCTGGAGCAGATATAGAAGCAGAAAGATTGACTTACTCAACATAAATAACTTAGTTGAAAAAATAACTTGAATATGAATAGATTAAGAATAAAGAATTGCAGTAAAAGCTTTAAAGTTATTAATAATATTAAGTAATATATTTAAATTATTCTAGTCTGATTTTGGACTTGTAGAGAGATTGAATAAAGAACTATAAGATAAAATAGTTGAATTACATTAAGTTAAATCAGAGTATAAGAATGCTATATAAATGATCCATTAATTAGAAGAATAAGTAATAGAGAGAATGGAAAAAGAATAATATTGTTGAAATATTTTGTAGACTGTTATAATAGTGATTTATAAAGAATAAATAATATTTTCATTTTTATATTTATTAATGTTATTGCCTTATAATCTATAGTCGCTATTGTGATTATGATGGACTAATGGATGTATTGGTAACATTATTTAAAATTTATTATTTCGAGTTAGATTAGATAAGTTGTTTTGGTTATTGCTATATTTTAGAATTTGGAGACTTTTTTTGACCAACAACTTCACATTTATCAGCAGATTATAAACAAATTTATTTCAATTTATTTTTAATTTAAGTAGAAGAAGTTGTATTACTATTTTATGGTTGCTTTGAATTACTATTATGTAAAGTTGCTGTGGCAGTTTTATTAACGCTTTTTTCTATATTGACAGTTGAATTACTCTTCATAAAGGCACTTTTAGCAAATTGTTAATTTAAGAATTACTATTAACTTTATTATTTTTTTAATGCATCAGATCTATTACTCTAAATGTTTTAAATAAGAGATTTTTATTTGTTTACTAGAGTTAAAATTTTAGTTAAATCTAAATTTTATTTATATAATAAATCTCTATATTAAGAGACTGGATACTATTTATCATCTTGTAATTTTAAAACTAATTATCCTTTAAATGTAATTTCCTCTTTTGGATTATAAAATTCTTTAAGATAAGGATGCCTTAAAGCATCTTATACACAAATTCTCTTATTAGGATCATAGACTAAGAGTTTTTTAATAAGATCTAATTCATCATCATCACAATTCAAAATTGCTTTCAAATTAGACTTATAATTTCTAGGATATTTATCAAATAATTAATTTTAACCTCCTAAACTCTAAATTTCTTCTTATGTTGGTATACCTAAAACTTCTATTATCTTTTCTAATTGATTTATTGTTGATATTCCTGAGAACAAAGCTTTTCCAAGTATCATTTCTCCAATCATGCAACCTATAGACCACATATCTACTCCAAATGAATAAGATTTTGATCCTAATAAAATTTCAGGAGCTCTGAACCATCTTGTTGCCACATAATCAGTTAATATATCTTATTCTAATGTACAAACCATCCTTGCTAAACCAAAATCTGCTAATTTTATTTTACATTCTGAGTCTAATAAAATATTTGCAGGCTTTAAATCTCTAGATAGTTACAAAATAGAATTAATACCTGTGTATCATCCCAGAAGAATGAATATATTTTAGAGCTTTAAATAACTAATATATGATATATCTTCGATGAAGAGGTTGTAAGATTTTGGCTCGAATGGCAATGTGAAGATCAGTTTCCATATATTCAAAAATCAAATAAAGGTCATTTTGATTTTCTGCAGGAAATGTATCTATTAATTGAATAATATTAGGATGATTTAGTTGTTTTAAAAAGCTAACCTAGAATAAAAGATTTATTTATACTTCTCTATACGTTCGTTAGGCATCAGTTGGATTACTAAAAGCATCAAATACTTTCTTTAAAGCAACTATACGTTGAGATTTAATATCTCTTGCCTTCCAAACTATTCCATATGCTCCTTTTCCTATCTTATTCATTATTTCATATTTCTTTAAAATATTAGTATCAATTTTTTCACTCATAATTTTTTTATATTTATTTACTTACAAATTATAACAATTCATATCAAAAATAGTTCTAAAGTATAAATATGATAATTTCTTTTAAATTAATAGTTAATGAATTCATCAAGGTGAATTCCCATTTTTTTTAATTAATTAGAGGATAAAATTAATGTGGAACTCTAATATATATAAATTAAAATTCTATTTTTATGAAACATTTTCAAACTAAAACTTTAAATATATATTTTTGTATCATTGCTAACATTTTTTGAATATGAAGATTATTTATTTTTTCAATATAAAATATGATATAAAAAAATAATTAATCTAATTATAATATTGTTTCAAATATATCTCTTTCAAAAAAGAACTGAATCAAAAAAATAATGATATTTTCATGAAGTTTTGAATGCAATAATAAATCAATATTAAATTTAAATTATCATATTGAAGTTTTATTGTTGTTTATTTTTAAGATTTTTTCAATTAAGGAGTTATATCAAATTAAATGTAGTGNAATAATTAATTTTAACCTCCTAAACTCTAAATTTCTTCTTATGTTGGTATACCTAAAACTTCTATTATCTTTTCTAATTGATTTATTGTTGATATTCCTGAGAACAAAGCTTTTCCAAGTATCATTTCTCCAATCATGCAACCTATAGACCACATATCTACTCCAAATGAATAAGATTTTGATCCTAATAAAATTTCAGGAGCTCTGAACCATCTTGTTGCCACATAATCAGTTAATATATCTTATTCTAATGTACAAACCATCCTTGCTAAACCAAAATCTGCTAATTTTATTTTACATTCTGAGTCTAATAAAATATTTGCAGGCTTTAAATCTCTAGATAGTTACAAAATAGAATTAATACCTGTGTATCATCCCAGAAGAATGAATATATTTTAGAGCTTTAAATAACTAATATATGATATATCTTCGATGAAGAGGTTGTAAGATTTTGGCTCGAATGGCAATGTGAAGATCAGTTTCCATATATTCAAAAATCAAATAAAGGTCATTTTGATTTTCTGCAGGAAATGTATCTATTAATTGAATAATATTAGGATGATTTAGTTGTTTTAAAAAGCTAACCTAGAATAAAAGATTTATTTATACTTCTCTATACGTTCGTTAGGCATCAGTTGGATTACTAAAAGCATCAAATACTTTCTTTAAAGCAACTATACGTTGAGATTTAATATCTCTTGCCTTCCAAACTATTCCATATGCTCCTTTTCCTATCTTATTCATTATTTCATATTTCTTTAAAATATTAGTATCAATTTTTTCACTCATAATTTTTTTATATTTATTTACTTACAAATTATAACAATTCATATCAAAAATAGTTCTAAAGTATAAATATGATAATTTCTTTTAAATTAATAGTTAATGAATTCATCAAGGTGAATTCCCATTTTTTTTAATTAATTAGAGGATAAAATTAATGTGGAACTCTAATATATATAAATTAAAATTCTATTTTTATGAAACATTTTCAAACTAAAACTTTAAATATATATTTTTGTATCATTGCTAACATTTTTTGAATATGAAGATTATTTATTTTTTCAATATAAAATATGATATAAAAAAATAATTAATCTAATTATAATATTGTTTCAAATATATCTCTTTCAAAAAAGAACTGAATCAAAAAAATAATGATATTTTCATGAAGTTTTGAATGCAATAATAAATCAATATTAAATTTAAATTATCATATTGAAGTTTTATTGTTGTTTATTTTTAAGATTTTTTCAATTAAGGAGTTATATCAAATTAAATGTAGTGTATTTTGTTAATAAATGAATAGATATATAACTCGATATAAAATAATCAAGAAAGAACTCATTTAGAGTGATTTTGGATATATTGGTTCAGAATTTAAGTTCTAGTTTGTTTTAAAAGAGACTCCATCTAAGTAATGATTGTTTTTAGTCTTTAACATTGTTAAAGTTTCAAAAAATCACTATTTGATATACGAGGTTTTGATCTTCTGCCTTATGAAACATCAGTTTCAGAATCAGCCTTTTTTACTTTTTTTGATTTTCTGTTAATGAGTTTAGATTTTTTTTTTGGAGCTTCTTCAGCAAAATTAAATAAAAGGACTGGTTCCTCTTATAAGTATCCATCAAAAGTAATTAGTTACTCTGGTTGATGTAACATACTTTGATCATAATCGAAGAACATTTATTATTCTGATGATTCTACTTATGGTTCTTCAACTAATTCTAGAAATTATAAAAATGAGTACCTTATTAATACTAATCTTCAAAATCTATAGAGTAGAAATTCATAGAAAATTATGAATTGTTTTTATTATTTATTAGAAATTGTTTGATTTCAACTTTATAGTGAATTGCGTTTATTGTGAAATATTTTCAGTTTATTTATGTTTATAGGATGATGATATATTTAAAAATTTATTATTGTTAAATAATGAAGATGATAAGAAGTCATTAATTTTTATTAAAGCAGCACTTCTAAGCAATAAATATTTTATCGATGATTTCAAAAATAAAATTTTATTTTTTTATTTTTTAATATCTTTATTATATTATATTATTATATTTCAATTTTAAGGCTTTCATTTAAACATATGTTATCTGTTAAAGTAGTTTGATTGAAATGAATAAATTGTAATTATTAAGTTGAATAAAATAAAACAGTTTACAATTTTCAAATAGTAGTATTTAAATTGATATTTCAAACTCTATGTAAATTCAAACTAGAATTGTTTATTAAAAATTTACATACATACAGTTTAGATTTAACTTTAGTTATTATTTTTTATAATTACCTTTTGCTGATAAAAGTTTAATTGAAAAAATATTTTGAAGAGCTTATACAAGAATTATAGATGATTTTATTAGAAATATTAAAATACATGATATAAAAGTGAAATGAAAAATATGTAAATAAAATTCATCTATCAAGTTATGTTCGTTGTAATAAATTTGTAAATGTTGGAATGTTTTTAAGTCTTTCAGATCTTTTTTCATTTTTTTCATTTTTTTCTTTGCTATTTTGCTTCTTTAAAAAAATTTCTTATTAAAATTTATTCATGATATTTTGATATTCTTTAGTAATTGATTCCATTGATTCTTATTAATTATGTTGAGAATTATATTATTTCTGAGAATTAATGTAGGAATACTACGTATGATTTTATTAGTTTTCCATTTTTACACAATTAATTTTAATGAGTTAAGAAAATAAAGAAGAAATAATTAATCATATATTAAAAGCCACAACATTTTGTTCAAAGAAGTGTGAAACACTAAAAGTTGATTAATTTAAAGGAAAAGAGACAGAATGCTTAAGTATTATGTTATAATAATTAATCTAGTTTAATGTGGTTATGGTTTTGCAGCTTCAATTCATTATTAAGGATAATTCATGAAGTATTTAATGGAGCAAACTGAAGGGATGGATGAATGAATATTATTTCTTAAAAATTTAATATAATTATCCTATAAACTAAAAATAAATAACTTGAATTTAGATCTCATAGTATTTCACAAAATAATGTTATCAAATAAAAGATTAAAAACTATAATGAATTTTTATAAATAATGTATAAGAATTTATTTTCAATAAATATGAAGCTGAAATTGGAATACTAAATTAAATTATTAAATGATTGTTTAAGAATAGAATAATGAGCCTACTAAAAAGCTAGAAAAATACTCTAAATTAAAAAAAATTGTGAATTTTGAATATAGGTAATCTATTGTTCTATTTAAAAATGTGATAATAAGCTATTTTATATGAGATAAATCATCTATAAGATTTTAAACTAGAAGGGAAAAAGTTTCTTGAATAATTAGGGCTTGAATAGGTTTTCTAGTGAGATTTAATATGTGCACTTTATTTTGGTGTTAGACTTTAGTTAGATATTGTTGTTGATTGATTGGAATTAAATTATTATCGATACCAAGCATTCACATCAAATGTATCATCTTAAATCATAGATTTAATTAAATATAAAGCTTAATCACTGCTTAATCTTTCGAGAGGATTTTATTGAACTAAAGTTCTTACTAAATCAAATAGTCTTCCTTATTCTTTTATGATAAATAAACAGTTTCTATTTTTTTTTAATACTTCAGCTGATGTATCAGCATCAAACAAACCTTTAGATGTTAAAATTTTATATAAAACACATCCAGCACTAAAAACATCAACTTTGTAATCATAAGAAATATTATTATCATTATGTTGTAAAATTTCAGGTGCACAGAAACCTGAAGTACCACATTTAGGATTTTCTTAAAGTTAATTACCAATAAAGCATGATAATCCAAAGTCGATTATTTTTAATATTCCATTGTTATTAATCATTATATTAGCAGGTTTGATATCTCTATGAATAATACCCATATTATGAATATATACTAATCCTTCAAATAATTACTAATTAAATAATTTTAATAAAATACTACTTTTAACAATTATAGAATAGTTTATTCCTAGAATTCTTATATTTCTGTGATATATTTCTTAAGATTCCTTCCTTCAACAAATTCAGTAATAATGGAGTATGTAAGATTTGTAAGGAAAACTTCCTAAATTGATAAAATATTAGGGTGGTTCAGTGTCCTTAGGATCTTTATTTCATTTTCTATTTAATATAAAACAGATTTATTAGTGTTAATTAATGTTTTAATAGCAAACATGTTTCCAGTTATGTAATTTTATTATAATGAAATCTATCTTTAGAACAATAAAATACTTAACCGAAAGTCCCTTAATCTAAATTTCTAATCAATTTATAGTGTACTGTAAGAGATTTAAAAAGAATCAATTTACCAAGTATTTATTTTAACTCATTAAGATTTTATGAATCCCCATAAAACTCTTTCATTTTATTCTAATAAGGGAATAAGAATCCAACTAATTGTTGGTTTTTAATAATCCATTCAAATTCGATTTTGGGATTCAAATCTAAAATATATTTTGTTTTTACAAATTGTCTTTCCTATTTATAAAATAAAATTATAATTTACATGACTCATCAATATTTATTTCTTTGTTAATTTTAAATAATAGGTTTAATCACGAAAAAAGTGTTTTCTAAAAACAGAAAAGAGAAGAATTTATTAATCTTTTTATATGCAATTAATTTACATTTAATATTAATTCAACATAAAATTAACAAAAAGAATTTTAAATTACAATATAATTGATCTATTAAAGAAGAACATTATTGGAATTTTCTTAAATTTTCTTATATAATATTCTTATTCCAAGAATATAAATTTACAAGAAAGATAATGACTTTTAATATTTTGTTGTTCCTTAAAAGGAATAAATAATAATAATATTAACCTTAAATTTTAAATTAAATTAAAAAACAATAATAATTAAATACTATGAAGTATTCTAAAATTTTCATATGATCCATAAATTGATTATTCAAATAAATAAAAAGATTCATAAATAAATATTAGAATGATGATAGACTATTTTTTTGATATATTTAGATATAAAAATTTATTTTACACAACACTTGAATAAATTTACTCATTTGTTTCTTCTTCTTTATGCTGAGGCTTATTCTTATGCTTATTAAATATTTGCATTTAATTATTGGGGATCAGCCTGAGAAGTGAAGAAAAAGACAATAAATCCAATAATTATATACCATTTCTAAATATAAAAGAGAGAATATTACATATTATAAAATTAATCCAAAGAAACCTTAAGGCTTTTATTATTCTTCTTCTTCAGGAGATTTTTCTTCAAATTGTGGTACTAATCCTTATGGAGCTACTTCAAATTCTTTAACATTGACTTGAAAATAGGTTTCACTATTTTTCCTTACAGGTTTTAATGAATAATCAAATGATAACAAATCATTATTAGATAAAACTAAAGTAATAATTTCTTAATAATTGGATTTCTAATTAAAAAGAGATAATTATTTTCCATCAATATGTGCTGTATATGATTTTTCATCTTGCTAATTCTATAATTTTAAGAGAGCATAATTATTCTGTATATAGACATTTAATATTTACTTCATTAATTTTTTTGCGATCTAAAATTTGTTAATTATTTTAATTCAAGATGATCTGAGCATTTTTTAAATTCGATCTAGGTATTTTCATTTCACCAATCTTTTCCCATGTCTAAGAATTTGAATTTTTTATTAATAAAGTGTAATCAGTTTATTAAGAAAGTGTTGTAAAGGCAAAAGCCAATAATAATATAAATTACATATAATTATTAATAATTAATTAAAAAAATTAAGTAAACATTAAACTTTTTTGTTGTGACGTATTGCAAATAAATGTACATTACGCAATTTTATTATATGAATCTATAAAGCCGTCTTGCTCTATCCATTATATTTATTAATTAATGAAGCTCCTTATATCAATCATTCTTATATCTACAGTTTTAGCAGCAATTCCAACAAAAGTGACGAATTGCATAGCTAATCCATCAGTTATATTTACAGAAGCGACATTGAGTGTTTAACCATAAAAAGGAGTTGATGAAACTATTACTCTTTATGGAACAGCAAATACTCATGTTGAATTAACTAACGTATAATTAAAAGCTAAATGGAATGGAGTAGATGTCTTTTAAGAAGATTTCCCAGAAGATGAAATTTATGAAAAGGATGATAAAGTTGTTTATACATTGACATAGAATTTCCCAACTTATACTCCATCAGTAAGATATTATAGTAATTTAGGGTAAAATCACCACTTAATTTTATTTCTAGAACGCCAAAGGAACAGACTTTGGATGTGCAGAAATATCAATTGTTTTGTGAACATAAATTCACATTTCATAATTTAAATTTAATCTAATCATTCTTTTTTAATATTGGTGAATTCATTTTTAATAATCATTTATACATAAATAGAACTATCAGAAATAATGATTTTCTTTGACATTCTATTTTAAATAAAACTTAATAAGCTTTATAGTTCTACTAATGGAAATTAATATAAATTTGAGATTAGGTCCGAATTTAATTGTTTTGACTCATAATCATTTTTATTATTGAAACTTGAGTATTCATTAAATAAAATGGTTTTCTGTTTCTAGCACTTTGTCATTTCATGTCAAAAGAATTATTAAATTATTATTATCTGGAAGATTAAATTATAGTTGTCTACTATTGTATTTTTTAATTTATTCATTTAAAAGATAAATTATTCTATCCAAATAAATATTTTTTATATATTGATCTTTTTTATTTCATTTGCTAATAATATTTTGAATTACCTATTCTTATTTAAAGTATAATTATTTTAATTATGATTCAATACTAAGAATGATTTCTCATAATAATTATTTTTATATTTCACTTACAAAAAATTATTATATTATAAATTGTAGAGTTAGACTCTGAGAATTACAACAAATAAATATATAATATTATATATATAAATACAAATTTCATAGCATAGAATCAATATATTATTAAAGTAATTTAAGTTATTCTTTTATAAATTATCTACATTCCTAAATTGAAATCTCTTTTTTTTCATAACATTTAGAAACTAGATAAAGAATAATTTTATTTGGCATATCTTGAGAGATTGTAAGGTTGAGCTTAAATGCTTCATTAATCCATTTAGCATTAGTATTCATAGATTTTACATCATCTTAATATTGAATATATTCTTGTCTTAGATTTCGATGATGTTTAATCACAATACTTCTCAACTCTTATACTAGCTTTTCTTTCTCTTGAAATAAGTTAAATTAATTGAGATAGCTAAGTGCTTCTATAATAATTTCATTTTAAGAAAAATAAGAATCTACTGAAAATGAATTTAATTCAAAATTAGTTTATAATAAATAGGATTGAAATTCTTTTTGATCAAAAATGCCATAAATTTATAAACATTTTTAACATGCATTAGTAACAGCATTATCATTAATACCTGGCATCCTATATTTGACAGGTTAATGATGAAAAGGACATTCTTCAATTTAAGATTAAGAATCATTTGAATAAGTAGGTAATTAAAAATTTTGTGTTTATTCACATAGAGTTGATTAAGAAACAAGTGAAATATCTGCAAAGATATATCTATCATTATTTGTATTTTAATGTATTTCAAAACTACTTGGACTTTATAAATAGTATTCAGAAATAGTTTAAATAATCCAATTTAGATCTTTTCTTTATTTAGGGTCCTTTTAGATACAATTTTATAATAGACTTTTTATAACATTTTTCTTATGATCAAATATAGTAGCCTATGAGTATTATTAATCTCTAATAATGTAATTAGTAGTTTTAATTTTAAAGAATACTTCTTCTTCAGACATTCCATTATAAAATGGTGTCTTGTGAAGTAATTCATCAATTATAAGTCCAAGTGCCCAAATATCAACAGATTTATCATATTATTATTTATCAAGAATTTCTGGAGCAACATAATAAGCAGTTCCTACTTTAGTAGTAGTCATTCTATCTAATTTCACACTGCTTAGACCAAAATCAGTGATTTTAAAGATTTCCATACCTTATTCATCAATTTATCTAAGAATATTTTCTGGTTTAATATCTCTATGAACTATGTTTTTACTATGTAAGAAAGCTAATCCATGAGCTACTTGCAAAGCTATATTAACAATTTATTCTTCTGTGAATGTTTTATTTAACATCATTTCATATAAGGTACCACCTGAACAGTATTCTTGTACTATAAATAAGGCTTCTGGTTAATCGAATATATCCAATAATTAAACTACATTTTAATGTTGATATTGTGAAAGTTATTTGAGAATCATTTTCTCTTATTAAGAAATAGCTAGATTTCTATTGCTAATTTTAACAGCTACTTTCTATTTATTCGATTTTTTAACACCCAAATAAACTTAAGCAAAAGCACCCTATCCTAACAATTAGTTTTTTGTTTCATATAAATCTTCATAACGATTTCTCATTGATTATGGTTAATTTATTTTTATAATAATTATTAAACAATTTACATTATTTTATACAAGATATATTCATTATACAGTTTATACAGCTAAGCGAATAAGATGATCTGTAAATACTTTAAGACTGGCATCATCTGTAATATAATTACCACTTTCTACATTTTCATTCTGAACTGTATTTACTGATGGATTCACTCTACTTTTTAAATATCTTTCTTATCCATGTCCAAAATAAGTTTTTATCAATTTAGGAACAGGGAATCTATCTTCTAAAATATACTTAAAATATTAGAATTTATGAATACCTATACATCTGAATTAGGAGCATCTATTAATTCTTTAACATATTCATATTCAGGATTATCATAATATCCTTCTTCAATCCATTTTTAAACATTTTCTCCATTCCATACAACAACATTAAAATAAGTATCCAAAAGTAATACAACATCAGGTTTCATACTTTAAATGTCTAAATTAACAGCATTAGCAACTGGATCATCTATTGTATATTATAACAAAGCAGGTTAAATCATAACTAAAGCATTTTATACACTTTCTCGAGATAAAGAAGCCTAAATAGATTATATAATTTACTCTATAAAAAGTAGTTTCATCAGGTGAAGCACCAAAAGTAGTAATGAAATGAGATCTTCTGAGATGATACATAAATTATGGATACATCATCATTTCTTATGGAAATCTAAATGAACTTACATCATCTTTTCTATATGAACCAAATCTTGCAACAACTCTAATTAATGATCTATCTAACCACTTTAAAACTTCAATTGATTCTTCTTATTCTGCTTTCAAAATACCTACTCTTGCCATAGTAACACAAGCAGCTTCTTAATCAAATCCTCTAATCATATCCATAATATTATTATGATCTGCAAATCTTCTTTATATTGTAGTTACTCTTAATCTTTATAATCTACTTGAGTGTCTATAAATTGTAACAAATTATATATAAGCATATTATGAAAAATTAGTGTCCTTTGTAGATGATAAATCAAACATTAATAAAATTGTAGAGTTTCTATCCAAACCACCAGTATACCAACTTGTTGTTCCACCTTCTCCTAAAGATACTTCAGATACCATAGGACCTCCTTTTTTCAATGAAATGCATGGCCCTATTCCTCCTTAAACTTTAATATCTTTTGATACAAATATATCCATTTTTGATCCAAATCCCATCTTTAAAAAACCAGAACTATCTTTATCAAATACTTTTTTATAAGTTTCTCTGAACATATCAGAATCAAATTTCTCTTACATAACAACTACTCCACCTGTTTTCTCTGCTAATTATTTCATTTCCAATAAACCAAATTAATCTAAAGTAAATGCAAATATATCAACTGTCATATTTGCTTTTATAGCTCTTTATGCAATTTCATTATAAAATTTCTTAGCCTTTTATAAATATTATGTATTTGGATTTTCTTTTTATATATCCAAATATGATCTAATAGTTTCTTCTAATTTTAATCCTACTACTTATCCTGGACCTATTGTACAAGGTCCACCTACAAAAAAGAGAATTTTAGAGAATTGTGTAGCACTTTCAACTAATGTTGAACCTATTTTCAATGCTGAACCATTTGCTCTGACTTCTCTCTCTCCTAGTTATGTTGTCCATGGATCACATTAAAGATCATCTAAAATAGAATTAAATGAAAATTCGCATTCACTTAAAGGTACTAAGAATCTTTTCAAAATTTCTGGTTTTGTACTTACTTATAACATTTCCAATATTTATTAGGTAGTATAATCTTTTGACCCCTTAAAACTATAACATTTAGGACATTCTTAAAATCCTAATTCATGTATAAACACATTTCTTCCAAATGTAATAAGTCCAACCAAAGAGTCTGGTGGAATGATAGACAAACTCTGTTAAATTGAATCTCTTATAGCTTATAAATCCTCTTAAGGTATGCAAGTATCAATAATATATAAGAAAGTTGTTGGTGCAGCTTATTAATTAGCTAATATATATTCAATAGTAGTGCTAGTCTTCTTTAATTCAGCTGGTAATTGTGTTTCTGTTATGTGATCAGCATAATGTTTTGGAAACATATTTTTAGAAGTACAAAATACACATGTCCATTATTTATTTCTAAAATCTATTTGATTATATGGATTTAAAACTGCACCACATTTACAATAAAGTGGAGAATATTAAACTAATACTAATGATTCCAAATCCTTCATAGGAGCTTATATTAATTATTTTCTATACAATATAAACATCCAATTGGAACAATTGCTCTAGTACTTTACAATTTTGTTGCTGGTAATGTATTCCAAGATAATCTTACACCATCTTTGTATTCTTCTTAATAAAAATCAATAGGTTGTATTTGTTATTGCTATCCTTGAGGTTATTGCATTGATTAATATTTCAATTTTTATTTTATTTTTAACACGTAATTAAGAATTATAAGGATGTAATATTAAATAATATATAAACACATAGAGTAAATTTCATTAATAATCTATATTTGATATGATGTAAATAAAACAACAAAGTATTAAAATTATTTATTATATATATATAATATGATAAAGTGTATAAAATCTGTGGTCAAATTTAGTGGCAATATTATAGCAGCTATTGGTTTAGTTATATTATGTTTTGGACTTTTTGTGTTATACAATGAAGTTGGATTAGATTATTAAGGTATTAACTAAATTTTTAGAATTAGATCTATATTATAATTCTGCAGATTGGTTAAAAACATTACAAGAATATGGGTTTATTATTATAGGAACTGTGATCTTTTTAATTGGTTGTACAGGAGTACATGGAGCAAGGTAAAAGCCAAAATGTTAAAAGACTTGCTTAATGATTTATTAAATTGGAGCTATAACATTTTTTATTATATGTACAAGTTTAGCTATATTCACTTTGTTATATTCAAATGATATTTTTGGAAAAGGTAATCAATTAAATATTTAATAACTTTTAGAATGTAAAGGTACTGTCTATTTTGAGGAAATAGATTCTCAAATCAAATTAGCAGATTAACTCTTATGTTCAAGTTAATGTTAATGTTATATCACTTAAGAAACTTTAAATCTTAATTAGAAAGCCTTTGCAGGAAAAAACTATACAACTTAAGAAGATCTTTAAATAAAAATAAAATAGGTCTAAAAATGTCCATCATATTAAATTGATTAATATGCTGCTTCTGCTTAAGTTATGTAGGCAGCTGAAAAATTATTACATTGCAGTGGGTGGTGCAATCCTACAAAATATTATATTTTTAGTGATATCAATGATAATTCAAATGAAGGATAGAGTTGTTTTAAGGAAACAAAGTATTTTGTAGAATCAACAGGAAAAATCATGGGTTATATATTATTAGGATTAGGAATATTATTTGGTTTGAATGTTTTTTTAGTGATCCTATTATGTTGTAAAAAAGAAAATAGAAATAGAATTGATTATCTCATGTATGAAACTTGAAGTCAATTTTCAATTTATACTTTTATAAATCTTTATAAATTTATCTAATAATTCTTTTATTTAAAGAATAGATTATTTACATCATATTCCTTGTAATCTCATAATTTCATAACTTATTATTAAATTAATATTAAAATTATAAATAATAATTAATATTTCAAAATTTAGACCTTATTAACTGGATATAAATTTGAATAATGAAGTATATAAAAAAAGTATAAGTACAAATAATATATCATTGCATCTCTATATTTTACTATACTTATTCCTTTTTTTATTATATTTATCTTCTTTAAACAATCTTATTGTAAACTTTATAGTTATATATAATCTTTACTCGGTAAACCTAATTTTGGAATTTTTATATTTCTCTTTAATACTTTATCATAAATTGATAAATCAACTTGATCTCCTTAAATACTTTATTATTCTGAATAATTAATTAACAATATTACACTATTATTTATTCTGTTTTTTTAGACTAGCTTCAGGATTACTTTAAGTAATACAATCATCTTTCAATTTCCACACTGAACAACCCATTTTATTTTATTATAATATTTATTACTCAAAAATTTGATAATTTCTTATCTAAATATTATTATTTTGCCTTTACATTCTCTAAGTATAGTATTTTATTATAAATCATTATTTTATATGATCTAACCTAGTTATTCCTTCTTTTTACCAATTCCTTAAATTTATAGATTAGTAGTATGTCTTAATGATCACTCATTTACCTTCAATTTAAATAACCATAATTATTTATTTAATGATATCACACATGGTAGAGCAGATTTAAGCATCGATTTTCTTTCTCATTCAAACTCAATTAAATAATTCGCTTTTACCTTTTTTGTTTTAACCTCTAGATTTATATACTTATTTTATTTGTAAACTCAAATGAAAATAAGTAATAGAATCAGGTACTTTTTCTAATCATAGATTCTAGCAATTTTAGTTTTTTTTTTATGTTATTAACTTAGATTTGATTAAAATCTCTTAACTAAATCTTATTATTTATTTAATTTAGAATCATTTGTTGATTATTAATTATTCATTTTTTACTTTATGTAATCTAAAAGCTTATAATAACCTAATTCATGTGAAATTAAGAAATCAATAACAAATTACCTTAAACTTAAACTTAAAATTGTCTTTCTAATAGACTTATGAATGAATGAAAAAAAAATAATTAGACTACAAGATTCAGTATCTTAATAAACATTTAATTCCTAATACATCCTTTTAAAGCAAACACAACGAAGGAAATAATTGTTCTAATTTCTGAGGGCAAATTGATTTATCATCAACTTAAAAATAAATTAACTATCTAAAAAAATTGATTAATTTAGATCCTTAAATTGAATTTTCAGCCAATAAGCAATAGAACAATATTATCTAAAATTAAAGGCTTTTTTATTTCATTATAGTTGTATTTAGTCACCTATTAACATTTACAAAACTTCACTTTATATATTTTACCTTTAAAACGATTTGTGATTTAGAACAAATTTTTTAAAATCAAAAGGCAATTAATATCAAAATCATTTTAAGAAATTAAAAAAATGAATACTCTTAGAATATATATATATATTTTAAACTAATCGTATAATAATTTATGTAATTTTATTTTGTAAATAATTTATTGAAATAGGTTTTCGAATGTAATAAAACAACTATAGGATCTATCGTATAGTGGTTAGTACCTGAGGCTTTAACCCTCAAGACCTTGGTTCGAATCCAAGTAGGTCCTTTTTTTATTTTTATAATTTATTAATTATAAATTAAAATTTTAATTCTAATTTATGTTAATATTTGATTTTTATTTTATTGATTTCATGTGTATGTTTATAATAAGTATAGGATCTATCGTATAGTGGTTATTACCTGAGGCTTTGAATCTCAAGACCTTGGTTCGATTCCAAGTAGGTCCTTTTTTATTTTTATAATTTATTAATTATAAATTAAATTTTAATTCTAATTTATGTGAATATTTGATTTTTATTTTATTGATTTCATGTGTATGTTTATAATAAGTATAGGATCTATCGTATAGTGGTTATTACCTGAGGCTTTGAATCTCAAGACCTTGGTTCGATTCCAAGTAGGTCCTTTTTTATTTTTATAATTTATTAATTATAAATTAAATTTTAATTCTAATTTATGTGAATATTTGATTTTTATTTTATTGATTTCATGTGTATGTTTATAATAAGTATAGGATCTATCGTATAGTGGTTATTACCTGAGGCTTTGAATCTCAAGACCTTGGTTCGATTCCAAGTAGGTCCTTTTTTATTTTTATAATTTATTAATTATAAATTAAATTTTAATTCTAATTTATGTGAATATTTGATTTTTATTTTATTGATTTCATGTGTATGTTTATAATAAGTATAGGATCTATCGTATAGTGGTTATTACCTGAGGCTTTGAATCTCAAGACCTTGGTTCGATTCCAAGTAGGTCCTTTTTTATTTTTATAATTTATTAATTATAAATTAAATTTTAATTCTAATTTATGTGAATATTTGATTTTTATTTTATTGATTTCATGTGTATGTTTATAATAAGTATAGGATCTATCGTATAGTGGTTATTACCTGAGGCTTTGAATCTCAAGACCTTGGTTCGATTCCAAGTAGGTCCTTTTTTATTTTTATAATTTATTAATTATAAATTAAATTTTAATTCTAATTTATGTGAATATTTGATTTTTATTTTATTGATTTCATGTGTATGTTTATAATAAGTATAGGATCTATCGTATAGTGGTTATTACCTGAGGCTTTGAATCTCAAGACCTTGGTTCGATTCCAAGTAGGTCCTTTTTTATTTTTATAATTTATTAATTATAAATTAAATTTTAATTCTAATTTATGTGAATATTTTGATTTAATAAAACACCTCTTTTATTTTTATGAGTTCCAAAGCTAATAATATCAGAGATAATATAGCCTAATAATATATATTCCTCTTAATATATCTTTCGATATAACATTGTTTATGGTTTATGTTTTATCTTGACACTCTAATTAAGAATGTATTTCTATTTTTATATATAAAGAGTGATTGTTTTGAATAGAGGATAAATATTGAGCATAATTTTAAAGGAAAGTTGATCTTAAATTTTAAAGTGATAATTCAATTTATAAAATTTTTGTTATTATTCAAAGTTTCAAAATAAAAATTTAATATTTAGTGTTTAAATTATCATCCTTTTCATTTAATAACATTTTATTAATATTTTATTGTTATAAATGAATAAGAATTTGAATATAACACTTGTATACGAGAAAATAATTATAGAAAAGAAAAGGATGGTCTCAATATGACACAAGTTTCTTTTGAGTATTATTAAAAATTAATAATTAAATTATCCAAATTATCTAAAACCCTTTTTTTAAAAAATAGTCTTCCTTTCTCAGATTAAAAGGTTTAGCTTGATATCAAAATTTTTGGACCTTTTTAATTATTAATTCTCTTAGAATTTTTTTTCAATATAATCTGTTTTACAGTCATAGATGATGTTATTTATAATTCCTTCCTCCAATAAGAATTGATCAAATATATAAAGATAAAAGGTAGTTATTGTTGCATTGTAAAAGATTTTCAAAATCAAATTCTTTTCCTTTTATATATATAATTAAAATTTTAACATTAATAAATATGAATCACATAAAAGCTTTTGGTTTAGCAAAATGGGCAACGGGTGAGAAATTAGAGTTGATAGAAATGGAGGGAGAAGTTGGTCTTGTTTAAGATTTATCTGATACTCTTATGATTATTAAGACGAAAACAATTAGTTAATTTCAGAAGATGTAAGATTATTTTATTATTGAAAGAGATTCGTTGCCATCTAAAAAGGGAAGATGGTATTATATGCCTTTTAATAAAGAAATCATCCAACTTATTTTAGCAACCCCAGATTGTAATCAAAATAATATTGAAATGCTTATTAGTGCCATTTAATCAAAAATTGTATTGATCTTAATATACTCTATTTAGTTGAATGGAAATATTATTCTTAATGACATTCAGAAGGATAATATCTTAAAGTTATTGAATTATTTCGAGAAACAATATAATAAAGATCCAAAATAAATCAAATAAATCATGTAGACATTAGATAATACTAAATTATCAGTATAACAAAATATAGAAAAACTAATCAATAATAAAGATTAATTGAGTCAAATTGAAAGTATATCTAATGTTATTTTAGTTAAATCTTTGGAATTGGAGGATACATCAAAAGTGTTTTACGATACAGCTAGTGCTGTTCATAGAAAGAATAGATTAAATAGATTAAAAAGAAGATTATTTATAGGAGGGATAGCATTTATAAGTTTAAGTTTTTTATTTTATTGGATTTTTTATTGATCATATTACAAAAAATTAATAAATTATAAACACTATTTATTAAATACAATCAATTTTCTTCATTTTCTTATAATAATAATTTTGGAAGAGATTATAAGGATCTCTCATATTTGTTTCTATGTGAAATAACAAATAATATTACAAACATTGTTCATTCATAAAACTAACTTCTGTTTTGATCATTTTACCATTATTATTTTGTGAATGAAGACTCTTCATATTTCGAATAGAAAGATAGCTTTTATTACTTTACCTCATGGTTTTTTACATTTTCAATAAAAAGTTTTATTTTTTTTTTAAAGAATCACTAAATTATGTTAGTTAAAATTATAATGAATTTTTACTCACAGGTGAAAGAGCTGCTTCTGAAATACATTGAGAACTATACTATATAAAATTACTATCCATTTAATTTTAATCTGTTTTTTAGAATCTTTAAGAAGATTTAGAAAAGTTTAATTTAAAATTTTTAATTTCATTAGATAAGCTAAAGCCTTCTTAATGACGAGGTCTGTTGTATTGTAATTTCTTATTATTTATATAATATAATCTATCTTAACGTTCTTATATAGTTTATTATAATTCTGGATTTGTTATTATTAAATCTTGAGGAGATTTATCTTTATATTTTTATTAAAAAGTCTCTACTTTCTTTTTTATACTTTGTGAAAGTGTGAATAACTTTTTATTTCTAGATCTAAGAACTTTAGTTTATTCTTAATTCATTTATTATTATAAATCCAAACATTCATAAAAAGTTCTTTTATCTATTTTATTTAAAGGTTCTTTATTAATTTTATCTTAGTAATTTTATATACTCTTTACAACAGTTGTTAATCTTTAATTAATATAATTCTTATTTTAAGTTGTAATATTTTTGAGAAGATTTATAATATCAGGAAAATTCTTTCTTATTTTTTTAAAAGCTTCAGCTTCTATAAATAAAGCTTCTGTATTATCAACACATTGACAATTATACTTTCTTTATGGAATGTCTTCTAATAATTCTTCTTATCCAACAAAATGTCCATTAGTGATTTGACTCAACTAATAATAATAAGAATATTTATAATACAACAACTCTTTTTAATTTAATTGTAAATAATCCTGGTATAGATTTATTTTAAAGAATTTGAGAATCATCCAAATTTATATATATTTCAACTCTACCTTTTATAATTATTAATAAATATTATGGTTCTTATCCTTTTTCCCAAAGAATTGATTAAGAAACAAAAGATATTGGTCTTAAATTTTAAATAAATTTTGAAATACTGAATTGAGAAATACCATGTAAAATTCTTTGATATAATTCCATAGTTTTATTTTATTCTTGAATAGCCTTTTCACACATTTATTTGTATTGTTATCGATTTATAGAGATACAATACATAACCTCTGAAATTACCAATAAACTTGCTGATCTTGGTTTATCAGATGTTAATGCAACATCACCAAAACATTAACCAGAGAAATATTAAAATACCTTTTTATTTATTATTATATTCATACTTTATGATATAGATAAATTCCGTTTTAATAGTAATTTTAATTGTTTCTATTTTCAAATAGAGCATCATCCTAAAAAAGCATTTTCTTACTCTTCTTAATATTTTATAAATTTTATTCATTTTCAATATCATCTTTTGATTTTGGAACATAAACTCCTGCTTGTCCTTTTAAAATTATATACATTTTATCCCCAAACTCCCCATAATTAAAAATTATATGACCAAATGAAAAGGTTTCAAATTTTACATATTTTGCAGCTTATATCACAAAATCATGTAATTACATTCCTTCAGGACAATTATTTTTTAGAAATTGAATATGCATTAACGATTCAATTAATTCTGTAGTTTACAAAGTGGGATTCATAAAATAATTAAGTGCTGGGGTCAACAAAGTTTCATTTTACTATTATTACTTTGTCAATAGTTCAGCTTGTTTATTTTTTTGATTAGATTATTTCATTTACTATTAATTATTTATACAGTATATAATCTAATTTAAAAATTTCATATTTTCACTTTTTTTAATGGTTTACATTCTTTTTCTAACCAATTAAAAAGTTAAGATTAATCTACATCCAATTAACAAACATGTTTAACTTCTCTTAAATATCTTTCTGCTTTATCGAAATCTCTAGTTTTCATATAACATACTATTATTCTATAGTAACTTTTAATTTCAAACTCCTAAAATATCATATTTAATTTTATACATTCCCTCTACATTAAGGTATAATATCTTCTAAAATCATAATAGCTTTTTCATATTCCTTTAATAGAATATATGATTAAGCCATATTACTACAAAATAAGTAATAATAATATTTCTTTTTTTACTGGACTTATATATCTTAATCATATATTTTAGGCCATGCTTCCATAAAGTTAATTCCCTTTTTATACTTTTTAATAGCATTTTCAAATTAACTGTTATTAAATAGAGTATTTCCATCTTTTCTAAACTTTTCAAATTAAAGAAAACGACTATTTAATAAAATTAAACTATTATACTTTTCTAAGGCTGTTAAATCTAAAGGTTTTTCAATTATTTATTATTCTACAATTTTTATTTTAAAATATCTAATAATTGTTGTTTATTTATTATTTTCATTTGAATCTTCATTCTAATTACTAAAATTGCATATCTTGAACCATGATTCTTCTCCAACATGCATTGATAATAGAAGTTTCTTAATTAAATTTAATTCTGGTTTTGGAGATTTCATAGAAAATCTATTGAGTTAAACTTATTTATCTTTATTCTATAAAATTCCATTTAAATCTCTTTCTTCACAAAATATTTTTAATTTTGAATCATTCTAAATTTTATCATTATCTGGTAATGAGATAACATTATATTTATATATATCAGGTCCAATCTATTATTCTTGATATTTCTTTAAAGTTTCATCCATATTAATTTAAAGATTCTTAAATATAATAACATTTTCATAGACTTTAGTAACAATAGGACTTTAATTCTCTTTTTCTTCTTCTTTTTAATTTTCTTAACTCATTATTAATATTAATGATTCTCTAAAAAGATAACATAATAAGAATTAAAGTTTAAAAATCCTTTTGATATTTTTACTTAGACTTTTAGTTAAAAAATATTTGATAATTATTTACAGTAAATTATATATTATTAATTTAATATATCATTATATTATTTCTTTAATCTATAGTTTGAGTGATTTTCATTATATTTGAATAAGTCTATTCTAATTCAGTTTTAAATATCAAAATGTATTTGGACTTTAATTTTTAATTATTAATATTTATATTATATGCCTCCAAAAAAGGGAAAAGGAAAAAAGAAGCAAGATTCTGATGATGATGAATCAGAAGAAGCTTATGAACCAAAGGCCACAAAGAAAATTCAAAAATAAACCTAAAAAAAATAATAAGGATCAGCAAAAAAATAAAAAGAAGAAGATTCTGGTGACTCTTCATAATCTAGTGAAGAATCAAATGAAAAACAACATAAAAATAAGAAGACATAACCTTAAAAATAAAATAAAACAACAAATAATACTAAAAAGAAATAAATAAAAGAAGATGTTAATTATTGTAATATTTTAGGATGATGATGAAAATTCTGAAAGTGTTGAAAATGACAAAGACAATTTTAAATAATATTAAAAAAAAGAGACTCCACCTGAAGATGATCCTTGCAGAATTTATTATGAATCACTATACAGAGAAAGACCAGAATCTTTATTAGCTATTAAGTATTGTTTAGATTATGGTCTCATTGACGAAGCCAATATCTAAAAAGCTCATAAGTTTTATGAAAAACATAAATCTAAATAAAGATGACATAAAAAACAATTTATAACATATTATATTAAAATCTTAATAATAAAACTAATTATTCTTAAATATCCAAAAAACTAAATATTTTTTTTTATTCAAATATATAATTAAACTTAATAAAATATTAGAATTAAAAGAATGAGTATGAGCATTGATATTGATAAGACTTCTAATTAGAATTAGTTTATAATTATTATCAATTTTAGCATTTATAATATATCTGGATTGTCATTTAGAATAATATAATCATAAATGCTAATTATATATTAAAAATTCAATTTAAAGAGTTTATCAGAAACTATTTAATAATAGTAAAACTTATTGAAATAAAATTTATTTAATTTTATTTGGAAACATTAATTATTATTTTTAACACCATAATATTAAAGGATTTTTAGTATATTAACAAGTGAAATAGAAAGTAATATAAAATTATATTAAATATTTTTGATAATAATTCAAAAAGAGAACAATAAATATTCAAATTATTCTCTATGGATAATGAATAAATATATAAAGATATTTCATATTCTTATTGAAGATATCGGGTTTATAGTTTAAAATATCTGAGAATACAATTTTAACTTTCATATTATTTAATGTAATTAAAATATTTCATTTTCAATAAAGAAGTTTTTATTAAGATTATATTCATTTATAATAAAAGAATATATCATTATATATGCATAAGCATTATTTTAATTTCATCTAAATTAATGATAGTTTCCACTTTATAATTTATATTATTTAAGAATTATAATAGTTATAATGTTTAATTCGTAAATTGCCTGTTACGAATATTATATATATTCAAATGAAAAGAAAGATTTAGATTATTAACTTCAAATGAATTCTTTGATAACTTATATAATATATTATTAAAGTATTATAATGAAAAAGAATTATAGAAAGTAATATGAGAACCAGTTAAAAAATATAATTTATTTTCTAATTATTGATGAATTAACTTATAATAAATGATATTATATATTTTATTAATTTTTTATGTAAAGACGTAGGCGTTGTGCTTTTGATTCTGATAATCTAGAAGAGTATATGCAGGTATATAAACATATAAAATCAGCTTGCCACTATTGGATAAAATTAAACTAATCTCTTTTACGATGACAAAAAATTAAAATGGATTAATGGATTAAAATAAGTAGATGATACAAAATACACACCAAAATAAATAGAAGGATTTGAACATGGTCATAGTCAAAATGATTATATTGATACTTCTGAACTTCCACCTGATATTCATTTGAAATCTAGTGATGAAGTTATTACTCATCACATTATGATACTAGGAGATATCGATGAATGTTTAAAACAATCCTTAACTATGTTCTGTATGCAAAGTCGTAAAAATAGCAATGAAGATTTTAATGAAGAATTGATATCTCCTTTAAAAAAGTAATTAAAACTACATAAGCCTTAGTAAATTATGTCTTGATTTAGCAATTAAAAGAATTTAAGAAAGGGATGCAGTTCATATGATAAAGTTTCTTATGCATGATACATCAATTTCTGATTATGCTCCAATTATCAATGGTATATTATAATTCTACTTTTTATGTAGTTTACTTTCTTTAAACTACAATTTATATATTAGCATTTAATATTGATTAATAAGATTTCGATTCTTAAAAAGAACAAGATATGATTTCTTATGTAAAGTAACGTGCTGTAAATGTAAAAAACATATATACAGTATACTTTACTGAATAAGATATTTCTGATCAAAGACAAAATAAATATTTTTGTAATAGATGGAATATTAGTGCTATCCTCTCTTAAGTATTTTATAAAATTTTAATCTAAGATAATCGAATAAGTTATTATTTAATGAAACATATACTTTATATTAATTTTTATTCAAAATTATTCAGTATATATGAACATTTATTTTATCTTTTAAATTAAAATTAAATATTCAATTATTATAGATAGAATAAAAAGAGAATAATTTATTATTATCCTATTAAAATAATAAATTAATATATTGTATTCATTAAATTCCATTTGAAATAAAAAAATAAGGTAATCTCTTAAGTAAGTGTGTACAACACCAATAAATTTTAAATATATGATTAAAGCAAACCAAAATCACTGATCTAAAAATAAAATAAATTGATAAATATGAATGAAAATTAATAATAAATATCTTAGACTATCTTGAAATGTATATCTAACTGTATAATTACCTGAATGGCTATCTTTTAATATTACAAAATGAAATTTCTACTTGGATAGACATATTAAGAAATTTTCTAAAAAGATCAAAAAGACTACCAAAGTAAAATTTACATTATGATATACATATTTATGATATTGGAATAATGACCCACATATGATGAGATAGGAAATTACTTGAATAATTATTTATTATTAATTGTTTCAATTTCTAAATTTATCATACCTAATATTCACTTTTAACCTTTTTTTGATATAACATAAGATTAAATCTTAAAATATGACTTTAAAATATTGTATAAAAAAAGAATTTGCACTTTTAAAATTGATATATTGTAATTTAAATACAATGATTATAATTTATATAATATTTAATTCTTCAATAACATAATTAAAAAATAAAGAAAATTATAAATGTATGTATGACATAGAAATTAATTAAAACTTATTTAGAGTCATATTATTTAGATATTACGTATTAAATTATGATGAAATGAAATGAAATTTTGAAATAAAAAATAATAAAGAAATGATGCTAAGAAATCTTTGGAGATCTCCTGTCTATTCTTTTTCATATTATGCTAACTTGGATCTTAGTTGTCCTTATCCATCTTTCCAAGTAAATTAATATAAAGTATAAATCAATAGGCTAGAGACCTTACAACTACTCATACTATGCATTATATTACTAAACCTCCTTGTGATCCTAAAATCATGACTTTTGGAGCTTTTCATACAGATCATTTATTGGAGATAGATTGGTCTGAAAAAATGGGGTAGATAATTGAATTAATTATTCATTTAGATGGAGCCGACCCCAAATTGTTCCATTCAAAAGTTTTAGTATTCATCCTTTTTCAGCTTGTTTACATTATGCAATTGAGTGTTTTGAAGGTGCAAAAGTAATTGAATAAATAAATATTTTTAAAGGCTTATAGAGGACCTAATAATTCAATTAGAACATTTAGATTGAATTGTAATATGTATAGAATGAAACAATCTGCTAAGAGATTATCTTTACCAGATTTTGATGGTACAGAATTAGAAAGATGCATTGAATAACTATTAAAAGTGGATAGAGATTGGATACCGGATAGACCTGGATTTAGTTGTTATATTAGACCAACATTAATGGCAACAGAAGAAGCATTGGGAGTTAGAGCATCAAGTAGAGCAAAATTATTTGTTGCATTATGTCCTGTTGGTCCTTATTTCCCATCTGGTTTAAAACCTGTTAGAGTATTTTGTAATACATCAACAGTAAAAATATATTTCTAAAATTAGATTCGATCTGCTCCTGGAGGTGTAGGAGGGTTCAAAGTAGCTGGTAATTATGCTCCAACAGTTTTACCTTTGAAAGAAGTTTAAAAGATTGGATTTCATTAAAATTTATGGATGTTACCAGATGGTTTGGTATAAGAAATGGGAGTCTGCAATTTATTCTTTTTTTGGAAAAATAAATAAGGAGAAAAAGAATTAGTAACACCAATTCTAGATGGAACAATTCTACCTGGAATTTTGAGAGATTCAATTTTAGTATATTATATTGGTATATTATTATATAGACACTTACAAGAAGTATGGGAAAGTTTAAGGTTACAGAGAAGAAACTTTATATTTAGGAGGTTGTTGAAGCTATTGAGGAAGGAAGAGTATTATAATTTTATATATAGTTTAGATGATTGAAATGTTTGGATCTGGTACAGCTGTTAGTATTTAACCTATTGAGGCTATTGGTTATAATGACAAAATATATGAAGTTTAATATGATCCTAAATTAAATGCAGGAGAACTTTCACATGAATTATTTGATATTTTAACAAAAATTTAAGTAAGTTGATTATAAATTTTAGACTGGTGGGGAAGAACATAAATGGGTTAGATAAATATGATTTTCATTTTTTTATGTTATAATTTAATTATGACAATAATAATATAAAGAAATAATCTTAATTATAACAAAAATCATATTTAAAAGAATATATCATTCTAATTTTTTTAATTAATCTCTAACTTAGCTGGCTTTTTTGGAGTTCATTTAAATTTATTGTTTTTATTAATTATTAGGTGAATACATAGATTAATTTGGGGATTATTTATTATAGGCAATTTATTGTAAAGCATTTAATTAAATAAATCTTTAAGTATCTTTTCTTGATTCAGGAGTATTTAAAATTGATATATCAGAGTCTGATGATTATTATTAAATGCAGGGAAAATTAAATATTTATTTTGATTGTATTTCATTAGATTTCTCATTCAACCAACTATCAAAGGTTGCTTTTACTGGATCATATTCTCTAGCACCCATAAATGGAGTTTATTAAATTAATTCATTTTTTTTAAGTTTTGACATTTTGAATCTCATATTATTATGACAAAATTTCTTCATGTTTTCAAATGCACTATAATTATCATTAGGTAATTCATCTAATGGTATATCATCCATACTATTAACTTATCTTTTATATAATCTTGATATAAAAGGATGAGATAAAGCTTCCAAAGATGAAATTCTATATTTAGGATTAGGTTCTAATGTTTTATATAATAAATCTTAGGCATCTTGAGATATTTTTAAGCCTTAAAAATTAATTTAACAAACTCTATTCTTTTCTATCACATCATCTAAACTATTACCATAAAATGGGGCTTATCCAGTTAGTCTATCATTTTTAAACATTTTACAATATATACAGTATAATTCCTGCACTAAAAACATCAACTTTTTCATTATATTTTTAATCATTTAGAATTTCAGGAGCAACATATCCAGGAGTACCACATCTTTTAATTATTAATTCACTTTCAGTATAAGATGCTAAACCAAAATCAGCTATTTTTAAATCGAAATTCTCTGATTTATCCTTTAATAATATATTCTCTAATTTAATATCTCTATGCATAATATTCTTGATTGGATAGAAGTAATAATACTTTAGTATGTAGATACTCCAAAGCATCAAATATTTTGAACATAATTAATGCTATTTTTGATTCAAGAAAAAAAGGAGTCTCAAGTATAATATCAAATAATTCTCCTCCTTACAATAATTCCATAACTAAATAGATATAATCTTCACTTTCATAAATTTCATAGAGTTTTATAATATTTGGATGATCACATGATCTCAATATATTAATTTCATTTATTAATCCTTACTAAAACATTATTATCATTAAAAATATACCCTTTAAGTATTTTTTTTATCAATCAATGCTGATTTTTGAAAAGTCTTTACTGCAAATTTGGATTTATTAATTATTTTATGGGCTAAAAATACCTTATTTATAAATTATATTACCTTTGCAAATGTACCCTTTCCTAATACTTTAATATTTGTGTATATGTCTTTATAATTGTTCATAATACAGGTTTTCTTGAATTATTCAATCCATTTTATCTGACTTTCTTAAGAACGAGCATTCAAAATTAACTTTCGATTTCCATTTATTAATATTATGGGATATTTATCTTTTTCATATTCAACTTATTATTTTAAGTCTAAATAGACATTAGTCAAGAATAGTGCAGCTGTTTCTTTTTGTTCTCTCCCATTCTAATAATAAATCTTTATTATAATTATACTTTATAGATATTCAATCTATCTGAAAACAGCTTAAAAAATTTAGGATTAAAAGTATTTTACTTTTTGTTCTTAATAAATAATGTTCCCTCAAATAATCTAATAGTTGAAATTGAACGTTTAATAGAGTCAAGTTTTACCCATTAATTCTTATCATTCTAATTTGAAGAATCAAAAAATAATTATTCAATTTACATTAATATATAAAATATTTGTATTAAACAACAGCTTGTCTATGTATTTATATAATTATCAAATTCTCTCTCTTAATGATGAAATTAGCTTTGTACCATTAGTCATATTAGTTGTACATATGATTACTTCTTTATTAAATTATTTTCCCAAGAGACGCAAAGAAGCAATCTCTCCATAAGTTACACCACCAAGTATATATATAATTACAATAGGCTTTTTGCCAGGAATATTCAATTTAATAGGTCTATCTGGTTCATATTGATAACCATTAATCAATTACATTTAAGTTTTAAATGGTTTCCATGATCCCTTATCAAATATCTTTTCAGTTAAACGAGCCCTAAATTATTAGAATCAAAAATTACATAAGAGGACAGTGACCACTATAAGTATAAGCAGGATCTTTAGGATCTGTATCATCAGATCTAATATCTACATTCAATAACTTAAATTATTCCTACAATTTAAAGAAAAGCTATTTGGCATCAGATTTGAATAACATACCAGCTTTGGATAAATTATTTAAAAATGCAATAGTTTTAAATCCATATACATGAACAATCTCTCTTCTCATATAATCAAATGGCTTTTGTTTCAATCCACCATCAACTAAAGATCTTAAGGTTAACAACCTTACAACTTTATTTAAATCCATTTCTAATTGAATCATAGCTTCTATATAATCTAAAGTTCTTTCTGTTTTATCTCCATTAATTATTCCTTATTCTAAACTTAATAATTTATAGAATGATATTGTTTTAATATTCTCTGCAATCTTTCCACTTATATTAAGATCTATATATAAATATTATATAATACGTCTTGAATTTGATTCCTATTCTAATTTAATCTTCTTTGCTTATTAAACAATTTTTTCATTCAATTAAGTTTATTTTTCTTTCTAAAATTCTGTCTTCTCTATTTCCTATTGTCTTGCTTACTCATATAAATATTTGGCTAAAGATGCCACTTACAATCCTCTTACTTTATACATTAAAGGATCTTTCTCTGAATTCAATTACAATGTTTGATATTCCTCTCCCTCTTAACCTTCTTTTCCAAATACCTTTTTTTGTAAACTTACTAAATTTCCATTGATACCAAACTATTCATCTATTAATCCTTCATAAACTAATTATGTTAACATTGGAGTTACTAAGTCAATACTTCTGTCATATATAATTAGAGATTCAACCTCTTAAGAATCTTGATTTTAATCAGATTATGAATTTTCTACTTTAATAATGTCATAAACCATTTTTGCACCATCCCCTTTACAATATATATTAGGAATATTTCCCATAACAATTTGTATTCGATTAATACTGTCTGCAACATAATTATAAATTGATAAATCTTAATCAATCATCATATCTCTAAAAGCATCTGGCATTTCTAAACTTAATACATCTAAATCAAGTGGAATTAGATCAAATGAAAAATCCTTAATTTCTACACTACTTAAAACTCCTTCTTATTCCAATAATTCTTTAGCTAGAATTGTTCTTGAAGGCCAAAAGACTAATTTATAAGTATTGTTAGGACCATTGGCAGCTTTGATCATTTTTGCAATTTTTCTTGTTACATCTAATTTAGGTGGAATAATGATAAAAATTTAAGTAATATCATTTTCTATTTAATTTATATTTTCTATTGTTAAAGTCTTTTTGACTCCACTTTCTTATAGTAATTTATTTTCAATGCTTAATTTAAGTAATTGTAAGACTCTTTAACTCAAAATTAATTATTTATTTCCAGGCATAGTTTCTAATAATGCAATAATCTTATTCTTCAAGTAATCCTTATAAATTGTAATATCAAATTCATATTATGGAATATTTGGATTTTACATTTTTATTAATAAAATATAAAATGTATTAGTGATATAATATATATATGATAATAAATATAAAAGATATTTAAATCTATGTCATTTTTTCTATTTTTTTGATTAATTAACACTATTTGAACGTAAAGCAGGCATTTTATTTTTTGTATTGCTCTCTTTCATTTAATATTCTTCAATTGCCTAATTAATTTCACTTAGCTACTTAGGATTCCCTTTGCAGCTTTATCATTTCTTCATATTATTAATTCAACTCATCCATCAATTTCTCATTAATCCCATATCCCATAGATTTCATTGAGTCTTACATCTATGATATAGTTTTTTTTAAAATACACATACTTTAAAACTATTCATCTAAATCAATATCAGCTATCATAATACATTTAAAAAATCTTACTTTAAAATAACATTTTATTTAATTAACCAACTTCACTATCATCTTCAAAATTTAACATAACTTTTTTTTATTTATCCAATACTTTACTCCTCTATAATAAATCTTCAATACTACTATCACTATTACTATCATCCTAATCATTATTTGATTCTTCTGATTTTGCTTATTAATTATGAGTAATAAACACAGTGTCTTTTTATTGTTATTTTTATTAAATTGATTTCAAATCTTTAATCTTTTCTGTTTGACTATAATTTTTTAATGTATTAGCTCTTTTTGCTATAGAATCTATTTCATCATTAGAATTGTTAATTTTCTTATTAGATTTAACTTCATTAATTTATGCTTTTTTAGTATCAATTTTATTAATATCATCATATTCATTTAGTTTATTAAATAAATTCTTTTCTAAATTACTTATTGCATTATTATTTTATCTTGGTGGTAATTATCTATTTGATGATTATGCTGATGTAGGTTTATTAATACTTGGTAATTTCATTTAATATATATATTAATTGTTATAATTATTTATATTGATATATTGATTCAAACTTTAAATGGTAAAAAACTCATAACTGGCAGATTCAAATGAATTATAGAACTTAAATGTTTTTACTTACTCAAATCATCATCCTCATCTTTTGAACCTTCTTTTTTTTACATTTAATTATTTTTCTTTTTTCTTTTCATATGAGTTGAACAAATCTTAAAAGAAACTATATCAGTATATATATTTCCATCAACAATAATAGAAAATGGTTTCTTTGTTTATTCCTCAACATTAATTTTTGTAATTGATATATTAGTAAATAAAGATTTAAATGCATTTTAAATAGATTCTAAAATAATCTAAAATTATTAATATACCTTAAGAATGTTTTTTAAATATATTTTTTTGTCTTAATCCACTATCAAATAATTTTGAATTCTCATATGTTATATAAGATAACTCTAACCAATCAGTATGTGGCATAGGCATATTACCTTCAAAAAAGTCTGTATAAACATTATTAATTTTGCAATTATGTAATTACACTTAAATCTTTTCAACCTTTTCCTCTTTATTTGGACTATTAATAATATTACCTAACATATCAGTTTATTCTGTAATCATTTAGATATTTAAATATTAAAATTTACATAAATTTTTTTCTTTAAAATCATAAAATGATAATTTCTATAACTTTTCATCTTTTGATCTTTCCTTTTATAATTCAAATTCAGCTATTGCACCAAACATTACATATGAACAAAAATACAATGTACTTTTCAATACTTCATCAGATTTACTTTTTGGATTTAAACCAGACTTCTAATCTGCCATTGCAATACCTCCATAACTTAATTTCTTTTAATAAATTGTTAATTTATAAACTCTCACATTATATGCTCTATTCCCTTCTCTTAAATATGTATTCAAACACCATGCTTTTTATTCTAAAGGTAATTAACCTTAAACTTTATTCACTTCTTAAACATATTTATTATTATCCTCTTTTATAGACTCTAATTTTGGTATCAGAATATCTTCCATAAAAGGTAAATAAAGATATCTTTAATACCAAGGATCCTTTACAGCTAAAAATTAAGCCAATGCACAATCTTTAGTTGGTACAATAAAGACTCTAATATCTAAAGTTCTTAATAATAAAGGATTCTTTTAATATATTTCACCTAATAACATACAAACTTCAAATATTTCTGCATCTGATCCTACAACCAACAATCTTAATGGTTCTGTATGTAGAGGCATATAATTATCATAGGCTCTTTAAACAAAATCTTTGATTAATTAATTTGGAATCATAAATTATCCTTATTCAAATTTAAGAAAGGATTGTTTAGGTGCTGTAAATGTAAAACTTTTTTGAATAACATTATGAAAATAAAACAAAGGAAAATCTGGTATGGATAACTAAATTATGTTTAAATAATTTACTTAATTACTCATTACTGCTTAAACTTCTTTTTAAACATTATTTGGTTCTTAAGTATGTTTCATTAATTCTTTAGTTATCTCATCAAAAGCATTTTCATATATTAATTCAATATCTGCAATAGAATCCAAATTATCACATTTTTCAACAATGGTCAATAATTTACAATATAAATTAAATATATCTACTTCTTTGAATGCTGATAATTGGGGACTCTTCCCTTACTTAATTAATTAATGAAAATGAATACATTTTTCTTTTGTTATAATTACAATATTTATGCACAAATATAACATCGTAAACTATTTGGAGTATATAATTAAGCATAATTTTAATTCTTATTTCTTAAAACAAATTGTGCATATTATAATACATTATTTGCATTATTTTATCTATTCTCATAAAATACATAGACTGATAAAATCTATGATTCTTATTTCTATTATGCTAATCCAGATATAGGAATTTATTATTCTTAAACACTTTAAAATTAAATATCTTAAGATTAATCATCATCAAAAAAATCAATTTATGGAATTTCTTCTCTAATTTTCATTCTAAATGCATTTCCTCTTGATTTTTATTCTTAATACAATATTTAAACTAATTCATTAGCCATCACTCCTACTGGAAATGGCCATCTTCTAAATATTTCTATTTAATTAAGTAAAGATTTTAAGAGATCTACTATTTCACAACCATAAAATGTAATTAATTGTTTTGTCATATGTAATAAAGATAATGCTGACTTTTCTGCTTATTCTGGAAAATCTTATGCTATAAATGGAATCATCTTAAAGTATTTTAAAAGAGAATCATAAAATACTCTACTTTATGAATTTTTATATTTAGTTCTTATTTATTTGATTAAATATTCATAACAAAACATAAATTCTCCAGTTTCTTATAGATCAAATCTCTCATCTAATAATAAATTATAAAATGAATCATTTTTAATTCTTACTGTTTTACCATATTATTCAACTAATTAATAATGTTATTTTAATGAATCATACATAAGTTCTATATTTTCAGGTTTAGCAACTTTAAATAAATCTGGCATAAATGCTATAGCACCAATTAAGAATCCTGTAAAATTATTATCTTCTAATTATTAAGATTCAAAAATAAAATGTAAATTACAAACTATTGATATAGAATATGGGTTCATTAATTATTATTTTTTATGAGCATTAACAATATGATGATCCCAATTTTATTTGACTTCTTTATAATCTCTTTATTTTTTAACATTTTCAACATTTTTAAACATACTAATTGTTAATAATGTAGCTAATAAACTTTCTAGACTATATGGTTCCTTTTTTCTTTTATATTCAGTTTAATCAATAATTTTTAATAATTCAAGAACATATATAGAAGCATTGTCTTAGCCTTCATTAAGTAATTCCCAAAAAGTCTAATATTCATGAGCCTTAATTTCTATTTTATTAACAAGAATATTAGTAGTCAATATGATCTTTTTAGTCAAGTCTTAAAAAGATTATTTAGTATTATTATTTGGAATCATAAAATATTTAAAACAATATATTTATTTATTATATTAAATAAATAAGAATTAATAAAAATCAAACAATAAAAGATAATTAAGATCAACTTTATTATTTGTTAGAATTATGATTACCTCGATTAGTCGAAAATCTACCTGGCATTTCAATAGATTATGTCATAGTAATCCCAACATTATGATTATTATTAGTTTTACTAACATTTATTTCTTTAACTTATGTAGTTTATCTCTTTTTCATAGCTTCTAAAGATGTTTCAGCCATTATCAATTTTTCACTTAATTCTGAAGCTTCTTCATTTTTTTCTTTGAATTTCTTTCTCCAAACATCTACCTCACCTTATAAAGATATTAAAGTGGTTTCAACTCGACTATAATTCTCTTAAATTACTTAAAGTTCTTAAATTTAATCATTAAGTTAATCAATAATATCATCTTTTTCATTTAATATAGATCTTAATTTTAAGATTTCTTGATCTTTATCTTTAATATTTATTAAAAAATCTTTATTTTCTTCCTCTAATTATGAAATTTATTTTTTTAATTATCGCAATTCTTCATTAAATCCATTTTAATTTAATTATTATTTCTATAATTCAATATATCTGTCTTTCCAATTTTATAATTCTTCTTTAAGTTATTTTAATTCAATTCTTAATTTTTCTTCTAAATTTCTTAAATTTTAATTGATTCTTTCTAATTCATTAATTTTTGTAGTATTTTCAATAGGTATAGATTATTCAATATAACCACTAATTTTTATTCTTTGATTCTCAACTTATAATTAATAGATCTTCAATTCTAATTGTTAGATTTTAAATTTATATTTATATTCCATTTCTTCAACATTAACAACTTAAATTGGTCTTTCAAAATGATGTACCTCATGTATTTCTTGAGGTTTTTGAACTCTTTCAGTTGATAACTAAACTACACGAATTGGTGAGACAGAAGAAGAATGATTAGGTATAACATTTATTGATGATCTATTAGGTGTAGGTGAGGTTCTTCTATCATTAGAAGGTGTACTATAATGTAATAATTATATACATTGTAATATGAGTTGATTAATTTTATAATTTTTAGACTGCATAGTTAGTTATATATTTGTTGGATTGAATAATGGAATTTTAGGTTTATTTGTTAAGTGGAGAGAGTGTCTAAGGATTTTATGGGATATAGGAGCTCCCTTTAGATCTAAGAAGCTGTTACGTCCTTTCGTTTTACATAATAAAATTTATTAATATGGCTGTAAAAGTTTAGTAATATAAAATGAAGCAAAATTTTTTTAAAAACATTAAATTTAATAAAGTATGGGAAAAGGTAAATAGAAAGTAGAATCATCAGAAGAGGAAGGTGGAAGTGATTATTAGAAGGATGACTTTGTGGTGGATTCAGATGAAGATATAGAGGAAGAGGCATAAGAGAAGTAAAAATTAGTCTGATAATTTTAGTCATGACGATTCATATGATGCTGAATTGTCAGAGGATGATAAAATTTTGATTGAAGACAATAAGAGAGTTTCAAAATTAGGAAGATTGCAGAAAATAGCAAAAGATGATGATGAACCAGAATTGGAGGATGCTCCTGCAGATCCATTTCAAGATCCTATATCTTAGGAGCCAATTGATGAGAATGAGTAAAATGAGTTAATAAATAAATTGTTCGACCCAAGTCAAAGAGAAATGGCATTCTTGAACTAAAATGATGAAGAGATAATTAAATAGGACGTGCCTGAATCGATCTAAATTACTTATATGAAAATGACTAATGGATAAATCATGTAAAATTCAAGAGAAGAAGCATCAGAACAGTAATTGAAATGGATTGGAGAAAAGATGTGTTCCCAGTTCGATTTAAAAAATCTTTCTGATGTTTTAGTTGGAATCAAACTAATTTTGGAGTTCTATAGAAAAGAGAATTTAGATATAATGTATATCTATACTTATAAGCGTCATCTTATAACTTCGGCATTTCAATTAGAACATTATTGGAAAATAAGAGAACTTGATTATGAGTGGGAACACTTTAGT